GTCATCCCGGCGGACCGTAGTCAAATCTTTTTCAGATTGGCTGAGAGGTGTTGAATCGCTGAAGCAGCTGCGGATACCGCGCTGCTAGACTCGACTTCCGGCTGGCGACACGGTGAGGGTGTGTCCCTACACGCCTTCGGTGACGCTTCTCCCAGAGGGTACGGAGCGGTTGTGTACCTCCGTACAGCCAGGCCTGATGGTTCCGGCGAGGTCAGTCTGGTGCTGGCAAAGGCGCGGCTCGCGCCGTTGAAGCGAGTGACGGTGCCGCGACTCGAGCTGCTGGGCAGCCTACTGGCAGCTCGCCTCGTCGCTCTCGTGCGCCAGGCACTGAGACTTCCCGAGGACACGGTAATCAGGTGCTGGTCGGACACGATGATTGCGCTGGGCTGGATAAGGGGAGATCCACAGCGCTGGAAGCAGTTTGTGGCCAACAGAGTGCGTTCCATTCAGAGTCTGACGACTCCGTCCGACTGGGGCCACTGTCCGGGGGATGAGAACCCTGCTGACTTGACGACTCGAGGGGTGTCGGCTGCGGAACTGCTTGAATCCGAGCAGTGGTGGAGCGGCCCGAGCTGGTTGGCCTCTCCTCGGGCTCGGCCCGACAGTGGCGAGGCTTGTGATGAGCCGACTGAGTCTGGTCAGGTGACTAGTGTCCCAGTGGAGGTCAGATCAGAGACAGCGGAGACAGTTGGCGGCAGCTGTCTGGTGGCTGGTACAGGTGAGCAGCCTGTGTTCTGCACGACCCGCTGGTCGTCTTTATCGAAGGCGGTCAGAGTCGTGGGCTGGGTGCGCAGATTTTGTAACAACGCGCGAAACGCGCGTCAGAAGTGCGCCCTTCCCGACCTGTCCTCTGATGAGGTCGTGTCTGCCCGGCTGGTGCTGCTACGGGAGGAGCAGCGGCTGGCGTTCGCTGCTGAGCTGAAAGCGCTGCAGCAAGGCAAAGAGGTTGCGAGGAACTCGAGCGTGCACTCGCTGACTCCATTCTTCGATGGTGATGGACCTCTGCGGATCAGAGGCCGGCTGCAGCAGTCCGACTTGTCCTATGATGAGCGGCATCCGATTCTGCTTCCCAATGGATGGGTCGCCGAGCTGCTGGTTCGGGACCAGCACCGCCTGATGAATCACTGCGGTGTATCTACGCTCATCTCCGCTGTCCGAGCAGCGTACTGGATTGTGGGTCTGCGCTGCCTCGCTAAGCGAGTCAAGCGCTTCTGTGTTAGTTGTAAGCGGCAGGATGCTCTAGCCTGCAACAAACCGGCGGCGCCGCTGCCGCGTGACAGAGTGACCCGAGCGCCACCGTTCGCCGTCACAGGGGTCGACTTTGCGGGGCCCATTTTCGCTGTAGATTTTCCGCGTCGCAAGTTTTATGTGTGCCTCTTTACCTGCGCTGTGACGCGCGCGGTTCATCTTGAGCTCACAGCATCTTTGTGCCAAGCAGAGTTCTTGATGGCCCTCAGGCGGTTTGCGGCCCGAAGGGGACTCCCGTCCGTTATTTACTCCGATAACGCGCGGACGTTTTGTGGAGCCGACGCGATGCTGACGCGCTACTTTGGACACCTCGCTCCCAAGTGGAAATTCATTGTGCCGCGCTCACCGTGGTGGGGCGGCTGGTGGGAGCGACTGGTTCGCACGGTGAAGGTGGGTCTGCGGAAGTCGTGCGGCTCCAGGTGTCTCTCTCTCGCAGCGAGCTGGAGACGGTGCTCCTTGAGGTTGAGGCCTGCATCAATTCCCGACCGCTCACTCCGGTGACCGACTCATTGGAGGGTGACAGTCCGCTGACGCCCTCCCATTTTTTGACGGGACGCGGCACAGGCTTTCAGTCGAGAGTGCTCGAGGATCCGGAGGCAGTGAACGCCAAGATGCTTTGTGACAGAGCGCGTGTGAGGGAGAGACGGCTGAACCGCTTTTGGTCTGTTTGGCAGGCTGAATACCTGCGGACCCTCCCTCAGTCGGTCCGTAGGTTCAGAGAGCACGGTGAGTTACGGCAGGGTTCAGTAGTACTGATTAGAGAGGACAACCTTCCCCGTATGAAGTGGATGATCGGGGTGGTAACTAAACTGTTTCCGGGCAGGGACGGTCTGGCTAGGTCTGCCCAGATCAGGACTCAGGGGGGACAAGTGAAGACCCGAGCCGTCCAGCGATTGCATGATATGGAGGTATATGACCCGTGAATGTACCCACCTGACACTACCTGTCTTGCCGCCTGGTCACGAGTTTGCCATGGAAATGCTCCTGTGTTCCTCCCTCTGCCTGGTAGGTCACACCAGTTAGAGCAGCGTTGTATGTTTGTTTGGATGGTGTTACATCCAAAGGCGGGGAGGATGTTATGGATTTTTATTTAGTTGTCTGTTACTGTCGAAAAGTAGCAGTGTTTTAGCTGGGTTTCGCTTAATTGCGTCGCATTTCGTATGAAATGCGTCAGTTTGTGTTCGGCGTGGTCTTTTCGGTTTTTGGTCTTACGCAGGATTATTGTTGTACGTTGTTCGGTGGAAGATGGTCGCACATGGCAAAATAGACTCTTGCTGAGGATTAGGAGTTTATTTGGAACACTTACCATGCATATTTTCTGGGGTGTGATATGCCAGGCTTGAAGCAGCCTTCTGAGCAAGTCTCAAACTAATTTGATATGCAAGGCATCAAAACACTAGTGAGCATCCAAGAAAGAAAAATATTCATCTATTTTGGGGCCTGTTCCAGCGCCTCCAGAAACCTCCAGAAACCTCCAGAAAGCTCTAGAATCCTCCAGAGAGCGTTCCAGCGCCTCCAGAAAGCTCCAGAAAGCTCTCGCCAAAGCTCCAGAAACCTCCAGTAGCCTCCAGAGGGTTGGGAGGTCCAAATTTCTCTGGAGGCTCTGGTCTACAATTACATGTGACAATCACGAATGTAAACAAAAAACTTTTGACTGAAAATTTTACAACTTGAATGTAAAGAAAAATACATTGCTATAATTTTTTAAATCTTTCTTACTAAAATTGAAAACAAATTTCGTGTTTCAAGAGAGAACAGTCGTCATTCTTTTTGTATCTGTGACGCTTATCTCCAGAAATCTCCAGATTGCGTTCCAGCGCCTCCAGTGAAACCTCTGGTAGAGCCTCCAATCAAGAATTTCTACTGGAGTCGCTGGAACAGGCCCCTGATTGATTTGTCCAATTTGATTTTCATTTTTCATCAATCTTCGCTCAAATCACCAAGGACATGCGAGCCACAATTGCCTCTTTCAATCGAAAGTTTTATTTGATTTTTTAATGACGTCAATAGCAAAGAAGTAGCAATATTTTTTTTTGTCTCTAGAAACAGCCATAAAAATTATAATTAACCTATAATTAGGCTATACAGTTAAAAACTTGCTATCAAACAAAGATTCAGTATCAATTTTTTACATTTTTTTTATTTAGGCCTCCCTCCAACGGGCTCATATACTCCCATTTACAGGAGGGCGCCTCCTCCTCCCGGCCCTTTTCCCCACCCCCCAGGCTACGGCTGAAGTGGGAGCCTACCCCACACCTGGTGACACAGCCGGGGACGACGCCCGCGGAACGGGCGAAACCGGGAATCGAACCCGAATCCGGCACCGCCCGCACCGCGGGTTGACGCCTTAACCGACTGCGCCACCAGGGCCGCCAAAAGACGATTTTTAGAAAAAAACGTCATTTTATTAGTAAGGTGAACAGCTGCGTAAGAAATATCGTGTTCAGGGTTTTCACTGACATGTGAATTAACCGTAAGTAAGGTTTATGCTCCCTTATAATCTAATTCCATTGGCTTCATTGATCAGCATTTTCTGTTAGCGGTCACTCACACACCAGTTAGAGCATAAAGCGCCAGTTTTGTATTATGTAATTGGACTTGCCAAAAATCCAGAAATACATCTAATAGTTATTTTAGATAATATTTTATGAAGTCTTCACCTGCCTTTACCTAGGCGTTATTTCTTTTTCTATTATCCTGAAAGAATTATTGAACGCTTGTCTTCAATAGCTATAAGGTGCTCTCCTAATGACCAGACCAGGTGAGATTGATTTGAGAGGGATGTGACAATGCAACATGTTGCATTTTCTGAAACTGGCTCTTGATGAAGGAACAATTGGTACCTATAATTAGTATTCTGTACCAGAGTGCAAACTCCCCTACGGCAAATGATAAAACCATTACTGGTTTTCAAAGGCTTCACCACTTTCAATGTTGCTGGGCATCCTTTGCATGATTTTTACAGGCTAGACTGCTTATCAGAATGTAAGATTAAGGATTTAGAATTTTATATTTGAGTACTTAAGATTGAGATTGAAATCTCACAGCCGTGGCCACAGCCGTATAGCCGTGTTCTTGCAGATATTTGCAGCCGCCCTGGCCCACAGCCGTGGGGCTGCAGCCGGCCGGTGCAGACCTCTACTGCCAGTCTATGTGATCTAATATGGTAAGTGGAGTCAGCTGGACCAATCATCCGATTGTGACCGCGGACACCCTGATGGACGAATCCGTTTTCTCAGTTTTCGTATGCGGTGCCTTGATGCTTCCTCCATTATTGTAATGTATGGTGATCATTAGGAGCGGATTCTTCGCGATTATCGCTCGAGGGCATTGTTGGTCAAATGGTAATGTTTGATTGATATGGAACGTATTACGTATGTTCTACACGGAAATATCCTGTTGAGCTTTCAAAGGAGAAGTTATGCTGTAATTGGTCCATAAATGCGGATAACCCTACCTATTGGCACTTCTATCCAAACCTAATAACACGTGTTGGTAAATTCAATTTCTGCCGGGTTAGGCCATGCACACCGGTATGGGAACATCTCTCGACTCCTGCTCTGCGAGCACCTGGGAGTGTGCGTCCGGCCGGCCGTCGGCTGCTGCGTCCTCACCGGGCACCATCGATTCACCAAATCGACCGGCTGACGTCACCGAGAGAGCTGGCCGTCGGGAGCGACGCGGCGCGCGCGCGGCATCGTCGGAGCCGACGATCGGAGTCTCTCCGACAGCGGAGGCGCGCGCCGGCCGGCCGCAGTCGCCGGAACAGCCGGCCGGTACCGAGCGAGAGGGTAGAGAGGTGACCGGGCTGCCGACAGGACAAGCTACCGGACGAGCGGGAGAAGGGACGAGCGAGAGGACGAAGGGCGAGCAACTGAGCTGGTGGTCGGGAGAGGAGCGAGCTATCGGCAACCGCAGGCAGGTAGAGCTGAAGTCGAGCCGTGCCTGAGACGATAGGTAAGCGAATCACAGCGGTCAATGAGTCCTCCCGCGCAGAGCAGTGTGCTGAAGAGACTGACTACTAGGCGAGATCTTCGAAGACTGAATTGAGTGAGGATTCGCCAGGAGGTGAGCGAGCAACACCGGTTCGCGATAAAACTGAAATGAAATCAAACATTTAAAATGGAGGGATATTCACTTGATTCGGAAACTAACGAGATGAAATCAGGTACAGCGGTTGCTGTAGTTTTACCCGCAGACATTAGTGGGGTAAAGCATCGCTAAGAAGAAAACGAGAACAACCTCGGGTTCCTTTTCTATCGACGTGAGTAGAATAGAGCTCTCGCCACTGGAAGTGGAAGTTTGACCGCCCCCGAAACAAGCCCGAGTGAGCATCGCGTTGACCACCTTACTGGAAGATCTGGCGCAGCTCGAACAGATAAGCTGCAATTTGATAACAACTGATACTGCACAGCCATCGAAGTAATTACCACATCAGTCAAGATAAACTCGGATACTGAAGACTACCAGCAGGTAAGGAATGAGCTGGAATAGCGGCTCTTCCGAAATGTTTTGAGCGTTGATGACCCATTTCTGAGTTCGTAAAGTTTAACTCCATCACAAGGTTCACTGTGAAATGCAATTCTACGATATTTGCAGTAAGCAATAAATGTACAATGTTGAACATGATTGAACATGAACATGATGTGTAATAACGTCGACATGTGTGCAATGCACGTACATACATAATGTATTCGGTATTTCAGTTCCTGAACGATGACTTTTCGAGCATGAACTAATGATTCTGAGGAAGCACGCATGTCTTCTCTTATACAGTGTCTACTTATCAAACACTGCTTACTACCTATAACTGCTGCAAAAGAGCAGCACTGCTGCTTCTTAGCCTCAAACACTGCTTATAGTTCTCCTTTAGAATGTGTTGTCGGAGTTTAGGACTGGGTCTAATAGCGCAACCTTGCGTTCCGAACATGAAATATGTGTGCAGAACACCAGCCTTTAGCTCACACATACCGTTTGAACAAACAAACAAGCAAAAATTTAAATAAAATAGCAAAAACCTAACCCGACTCATCTCGATCGTCATTGCTGTACGATTATCTGCGAACGGTCTCAGGTATTTCTCAAGTTTTCCCCATTCAAGTTTCCCCATCGGCGTTTCAGAAATTCCGGCCTGCACCTGTGGCGTAAATGACCACTGAAGGCACGCCCTGGAAGCCAACGTTAGGATTACGACAGCTCTTTTCTCAGGGGCGTGACCCGCTTCGGAAAATAGATACAGGATGAAATTGAAGCTAAGCCTGCCATCAATTGTTTTTAATCCACACTGCAATCGTGTATCTATTTATTTTCCCCTTTCTTTTCTCAAGGAAGAACGGACAGTGGTCCCAGATATCAAAGGCAAAAAAAACAGTCAATTATGTGATATCCAATTGAGCATAATCAACAGACGCTGTCACAGACCACAGCATTGCGCAGTGAGCACAAACACATCAACCGAAAAACATCACATTAGTTGGCGGCAGTATTCTCCTGCGAAATCGACATTGTGGCCACGGACCAGCAATTACGATCTGACAGCCCTTAAATAGAAACAACGACAGAAGAAAAACACATATGACAGACGCTCTAGCAATAGCTGGAAGCCATAGCGCAATATTTGTTGCAAGAGGCTACCCTGACAGAGATAAATTTCTGACAGAGAAGGTGCGGGGAATGACAGAGCGCACCCAAGACGATAATGTATGGCCTTTCCGCCTGATCGAAGTTGTTGAAACGAAAAAAAAAAGATAGCTCATAGTCTTCATTCTTGCCTAGCAATGAAGCTTGAACTGGTGTATAGTTTTGATTTTAAGATTTCATTAAGATATTAATTATGCGTTCAGTGCTCGAACTCTGTTTGCCTACGGTATGAACCGCAACGATAATTGAAGACGAAATGCGTGGTGTGCTGATCATTTGTGACTGTCTCAACATCTGGGACTTGGACAAAATCTCAGAATAAAGACCGCGAGACCTCCAGTCGACTGCACTGTTGGCCCCAGGTGAGGGGACATGGCCCATGATCCCTTTTAAGACATTTGAAATCACGCCTGTGACTGTAAACCTATGGATAGAAGTGGATAACCAAAACGCTTTATCCCTCTTTTGGTGATTGGCCACCTGGGGCCTCCATTTGTGGTAACCGTGCTCGACACTTCGCACTCGAAGAGGGATCTGACTCTGACGAGGTGTCACTAAAACCACGCACAAAACCAACAGCTCGAGCAATTGACCGGCCAAAGTGGCCATCTAAGCACAGCGGCTCCAATCGGTCTGGCACTCACACTATTTAGAGCAATTCGCACCGGGCAATCCGTTCGTACCCAATGGTCTGGGCTGCTATGTGTGACTTGCACACAGGGAGAAATATGACACAGAAAGCTGGGTTTGAAATAAATGCCGTCATCCCCTATTGTCCAGTGCGAGATTATTTTATCAGGGATGTATCAGGGATCCTGCAGTTTTAACCCTCGCCGGCACAGGCCATTTTGCGTCCTTCGACGGCACAAGGGGGGGGGGGGGGTTGGTACGACCCCCCCTCGCGTTTGGCCCCTGATCAAGCTAGAGCTTCGCGGAAAAAACGAGCGTGTTGCCCGTCACGAGAGGAAGCCGATGATACCCAATTTTAAGGTCCTAGATTATCGGGTGACCTTCCAGGTCAGGTCAATGACCCGAAAACCGGGAAAATTGGGACCTGTTAGAAAGTCGTAAAGTTTGGCTGCTATGTGGTTTTCCGGGGCGTTGATCACGAATATCGTGTTAGTTTTGATCAGAGATGATGTCTTTAGGCATTTAGACCAGGTCGGGTCAGGTCAGGTCAGGTCAACCGGTGGGGGTTGTGACGGGTATTCGTAATACGTGTCAACCGCCTCTGACAGCTTCGTAACATGTTACGAAGGCACCAAAACTACTTCGTAAATGTTCAAATGGTTGCTAAATTCGAATTCAGCTCCAAAAACTAGCCTAGAAACATGTAAAACTCGAAAAAGTGAGCCGAGGTCACCCGAGGTCACCAAAGGTCAATGACCTGACCTGACCTTCAGGTGACCTTGACACCCACCCTTATGTATGGGAGAAACATCAAATCACATGTTTGAACGATTGAAACCACGAAAAGCTTGCAAACGCGCGGCTAATGCGAGCCGACATACGCCGAATCGCGATTCCGGCCAAACATGGTCTCGGAAAAGGGGTCACAGGTCAAAGGTCATTTGGTTCAGGGTCATGAAATTTTCAGGATAGGTGCAAAATTGATAAATGCGAGGGTACTGAAAGTTTCGTCGCGATCGGCCGCTTTTTACGCGAGTTATTCGCGAAAAACCTTAGGGGGGTTGCATCACCCCCCCCCCTGTGCCGGCGAGGGTTAACAGGATGCAGCTTGTTTGAAACATGGGCTCTGCCACGGTTTCAGGAAGGGGGGCGACCAAAAATGCACTCTCCTATACATTAGGCTGCATTACTGAAGTGAAAAAATGAGGGGGGCGGGTACGGAGTTACGGACCCCGCGACTTCCTCTCAGTGGCGGAGCCCCTGGATTAAAGGTTTCTAGCGTTGTGATTAATGTAATCATAAATGTACAATGAGACATTTCACGACCATTTCACGACCGTCGAATTGTAATTAATTAACAATGAATTACCCGATGCTATGGCCACATTTGACCTTTATGGACCATATCAGGACAGCAGGATTACCGTTTATGTCAGACAGCCAACATTAGTCTATGTTTTTCCGGAGCACATGTTTTTTTTTTTGTTATCCCTCATCATCAGTCTGCGCATAGTCAAGATACTAACTGCAGATCCGTACAAGCGTGTTTACTCACTATACATACACTTGGATTAGACACTGTAATCCTGGGCCCAATCTTACCAACTCAGCCGTGAATGCGCATTCACGGCATTTGGTAACATTCATAACTACTCCACATTCACTTATTCATTCGTTCAGGCATCATTCATAATCATTCACGCCATCAAAATCATTAGACAATATTAGCTGGATGTAAATAAAAAGGATATCTTTGATATCAGTACCGTAAACTTCACCCAGTGCTGCATAATACTATTAACGGCATTGGTAAGATTGGGCCACGGTGTGTCATGCTGAAAGAGACCGGTGTGGCAGTCTGGGAAAAATGCGCGGAAGTAGTACGGGTGCGATAGCCGAGGGCCGAGGCCGAGGCCGATATTGACCATGTCCACTGACACATTGTCCAGAGAATTGACCACAGTCATGTCCAGATAACTGACCACAGTCATGTCCAGAGAATTGACCACAGATCTCTATCGCATTAATCACGGATCCTCGGTTATCCTCGGTTTAAAAACTAAGGACTAACTAAGGGTTTGTTGCCGGCGTATTGACAACGGATCGGCGATTTATATTGAGCACGGATCGCCGATGTATTTACCACGTATCGCCGGCGTATTGACCCCAGATCGCCGGTGCATTCACAACGGATCTCTAATGTATTGAACTTGGATCTCCGATGCATTGAACACGGATCTCCGATGTATTGACCACGAATCTCTGGCGTATTGAACACGGATCTCTGATGTATTGATCACGGATTCCCGGCGTATTGACCACGGATCGCCGGTGTATTGAACACGGCACGTCCCCAGACTGAAGAGGGATCGGTCGGCATCGACCTGTCTGGCTTTCCTTTCATTATTGCGGCGCATATACCTACCGCCGCCACGGATGTCACCTGAGATCGATAGAGACGAGTGCACTGCGTCCCGTGAAGGGTCGGGCACTTTCCAAGAATAGACAAACCTGTTCAGCAGGCCTGCCCGTCCGCACATTGTCCGTGCATTGAACTGAGAATTTGCTATGAAATCTGACGAAGCGAAATGTTGTGCTGCCTTGGAAATTCGTCAGATTGTAACTTTGAAAAAAACCAACTCACGCACAGCACAGCCCAATCATAGACCAATGTCCTTCAAATGTTTTATATATATATATATATATATATATATATATATATATATATATATATATATATATATATATAATATCTTCATTCACCTCTGCTAAAACAGACACTTGTAATTGTTATCACTATCGAAAACCTCATTCATCCTATTTCTAACTAAGCTATAGATATCTCTTTTCCCTATAAAGATATAATATTTTACCCGCATTTTCCCCATTATTTTCTTTCAAGTTTTTTAAATGTTTTTTTTTTACCACGAACAATGGGATTTGTCGAATCCTCACATCCAAAGTTGGACTTCAATATAGCGGCAATAGCCGTTTGCACGACGGCCATCTGGTAGTTACACATTTGGTGCAGATTAGGTGCCGACTGCCGATCAGGTGCAGATCTGGTGCAGATTTGGTCAAATTGCTTCATTTTAGCCGTTTTCACGACGGCCATCTGGTACACATTTGGTGCACAGCTGGTGCAGATTAGGTGCAGATTTGGTCAAATTAGGTCAGCGTGTCTCTTAGTAGCTATCAGCTAGGGTTGCAATATTTACTTATACCTATGCCTGCTTTGTCATATTATCAGAGAGTATCATCGATTAAAACATTGAAATAAATTCATAAAATAAAGATATTTGCTTTAAAAGAGATCAGGTGCAGATTTGGTCAAATTAGGTGCACTCGCCAGACAGCCCGTCGCGAAAACGGCTAATATCATCCAAAGCGTACTCTCGTGCGACATGACTGAATGCCGCCCGTTAATCATGCAATGCTTTGCTACGCATAACAGCAATTTTCTGAGCACACTCAGCCGTTTGCTGTGACCACCGCTCTATCATGGCATCATGGGAATCTCCTAGACCCCTTGCGGTCTGGTCGCTATGGCTACCGGGAATATCAACCCGCGGCGAGAGGAGCTCCCCGCAGGCCTGTCGTTCGGACCGCGTGGAGATCGGGGAACGGTGGTAAATCCCCCCAGGCCATGGCGCTGAGGGGTTTACTGCATATTGAGCCGACCCTAGGCGAGGTAGTAAAGTCAGCGACCAGAGACCATCACTGTCACGCCACGAGACTGCCTGTGGTCGGCCGAGGGTTCATGGGATGGAAAGCCACGATAGGCGGGAGCTCATTTTAGAACTACATGCATCGAAAATATGAAACACATTGACAAAATATTACGCAGCGAACATCTTTGTGTGGAAAAAAGAGTACGGGAAAAATGCGCACTCGGCGCACCCACTCACCTTTAGCCGACTCGAAGATTTAACTCAGAAGTCACGCAAAAACTTTATCTTTGCGTCTTGCATCGATAGATGCTGAGGCATCGCAGAGATTGAAACGAGAAATGGCGCTCATATGTTACTACTACAGGACGGCAAGTCGGCACAATGCAAAATTATAACAACACCAGACTCTGACTTAACATTCCCATCACCATTTGAACCTTGCTACACAGAAAGCCTCGCATCTCACACGGACGGTTGTCAATGCACTGCTCGGCGTCTTCGGCCGCTCCACGCCTGTCATCAGATCCCGCGAGGGTCACGTGACATTTGCCCCGAGGCAGACTGGCGCCGGAGGGGGGGGGGGGGATTCGGCCCGTCTCGGCCGGCTCCGTGGCAACAAGAAAGGTCGCGGGGCTGGTGGTAATCAGGGGACTGACGAGCCATTAGCCGCGTTTACATAGGGCTAGTTGCCAGATAGTGGAATTCCACTAACGAGACATTTTTTCCACTAACGAGACATTTCAGGCACCTTCAGATAATTCTGACGACCTATCCGGCCAGAAGGACCAAACCGATTGACAAAAATAAATACATCGTGGCGGATGAATACTACCGAGGTATTTCAGGCCTAGACATAGTATAGATGTCGCAACTCGCGGCCTTCCGAGCAGTAAGGGCGAGGTATAGATGACGCTACTGCAGCAAGTCACTGGAGCGTGCGAGTCGTGGAATGGAACGGAAGATACGGAACGGGGGCTTCAACGGAAGCTTATTCGTTTAATTTTCATTGAAGAATTGATTTCGTGCGCTAGGGAAAGAACATTGTCTTCTTTTTTCATACGTCTGCACCGTCCCAGTCCCCTCCATCCTTTGGATCAGCCAGTGTGCAGCAAGAGGGTTCATCGGAGAAAAACAACAAAGAGCAATCCTCCCTGAGCCTGTCAGGTCAGAAATAACCTGAGCATAGGCGACGGAACGGGGAGGGCACCGGGGCACCGTGCCCCCCCTTTGATTTTGGCCTGCATGGAAAGAATGGGACCAAAAGTCGGCGGTGCCCCCCCCCCCCTCCGCGGCTACTGAAGCTGAGGACCGTTCGTTTTGCCCTACTGCCCACGCTTCTTAAAATTTCAGTAGTAGTCAGTTATCTGGCCAATGTTTCCGTATAGGGGCTGGCAAACACAACTGAGCCTCGTGAGTGGGATGAGTACTGGACACAGAAGTGGACAATCTGTTGGCAAGAAGCCCGCAAGGATAATATCTCGAAACTCAGGACTACGTATACAAACACTTTAAATGCATCTAAATCTATACTATAATCGAAAGCCGCATTGTTGTGAACTACCGGCACGTGCGTCCAATCACCATCAAGAACGGAAGTCCGACCTACAGCAAGCACGACAGTCCGATCAAAGATGTATTGAAAAATAACTAGCAACTTTAAACATCGCCTTCCTCAGCCACGCTCTACACCGCATCACATAAGAAAACCGCCAATATCGATTACAAAACACACATAAAGGAATTCCGTAGGTATAGATCAGAGGAATACTTCACCTCCTTTATCTGGCGCGTCAATAGGTATAAAGTAATCTTTGGCGTCTACGCACTAGCAACATCTATAATGCAAACAGCAGTTCAGAAACCATCCACTAAAATTGTAACAAGGCAAGGGTTGGTCAAAATAAATTATAGTCACCGTGATAAATAGCAAACGAAATACAGAACAAGCACAACAAAGCATTCCACACTCGTTTAGACTGTACAACATGCCTACATAAGACATTGCAGCAGTGTACAAGGAAAACATTCTTTAAAGATGCTAACGTGGGGAGTTTTAAAAGTTTGGTGAACACAGTTACGAGTCACTGCACAAGAAATGTAGCGCGGTCGCCAGCCGGCCCAGGCGAAAGAGTCGACGGAGACGGCGTCAAACAAACCCGAGAGGGGGTAGTTTCATCCGCATCAGCGGAGGCGCTCTCTCTACCAAGGTCGTCAGTTACCAGCCGCAGCACCCTGCTGGCGATTTGATAGCTGCTCTCATTCTCAGCTGGCTGAGCGCCATGTGCCGGGTCATCCGGCTCCATGATTTCCCCTTTCATTAGCAGCTGCTGTTGTAGTTATTGTTGTTGCGTTCCTTTCAGCCGCTGCCGCAGCATAGCCGTACGGTTCTGGATGGTTCTCACGGCGGCAGCCAGGGTCACCAAATCCGTCTCCCCGTAGCCACACCAGATTCGGGAAAATGTACCGAGATGTACCGAGCCAATGTTGCAGCACTCGCGGCATTCATCGGTAGGACTCCGCCCAACCCAATGTCGGCACTGGCAGGAGCCCGACCAGTGGTCCAAACGAAACTGATGAAAATCGACAGCTGATGAGCGGTCCTCCACTGACGCCGGACGGGTGGCGACGGCGCGGCCGGTCCTGGAGCTGGAACAGCAGAATGGACCGGCCGGGACACGCGGCTCATCATTCCATTCGTCCTGCTACTCCCCGTAGACCCCAGCTCCTTCACTGCAGGTTCTCGCGTCTGCCGACCCGTCCGTCCAAACCCACGCGGCTCGATAGGGGAGGGGAGGGCAGATATCGTTACGTCGCTTGAAGCAGTTCAGCTGCCGAGGCTCTTTGTCGCAACGCCGCCAGCGCCGGGCATCGCAGCAGCACATACCGTGGAGTGCCAGCCTCTTCGCGGCAGACGCGGCATCGGGCAGCAGGGCACTCCACGTCCGGCCATTGTGCGCATCCGGCCTCGGGAGGCGGCCGATGCAGAGCAGGTACTGGCGGATGTAGATAACGACTGCACGGTCGGCCTCCAGGACGGAGCCGGGACAGCGGTCGACCCATATCGACCGGTACCATCCGTCCTGCCAGCTCCGCCGCCAGGCGCGCGCAGCGTCGCGCGCGCCTGCCTTGCAGATAGTGCTGCCCAAGTCGATCGGCGGACGGCGCTACCGTTGGGATAGGGCGCCAGCCTCGCGCGCGAGGGCGTCCATCCGCTCGTTGCCCGGAAGCCCGCAGTGTGCAGGAACCCACTGCATTATCACTGGCTGGCCCCCTCGGTGAGCGCTGCCAGCAGCCCCCATATGTCTGCGGCCAGAGGGGCTCTCTGGGCCGCCGTGCCGCTCCGCAGGAGGGCCAGCGCCGCCATCGAGTCGGTACAGACGATAATTATCGGAAGAGAGGTGTCGCGACCAGTCTTGGTCAACAGCTCCTCCAACACCGCTCTTAGGGCGAATAGCTCGCCGCGCGTGCTAGAGCAGAGGGCGCCTGCCGCGACACGCACCTCCCGGATGTCGCGGTTCAGGGGGGGGGGTGGCCCCTCCTCCTCCATCTAGCACACCATCGGTGGCGGAGCTGTCTGACCAGATCAAGCTGTTGTTGTTGTTGTTGTTTTTCCCCACGCAGCGGTCGCTACGTAGCCTCTCGGCTCTGGAGGTACCTGGCGGCGGCCCCCAGGGCCGCCACCACGCCGCTGCCTCGGACCTCCTCCTCGCTCGGGTGTATGTTGCCTAGATGTCGTAGGCGTAGTCGCATCAGTGCCGGGCAGCGTAGCAGGATGTGTGCCGGCGTGTCTGCCTCCTCTTCGCCACAGCAGCGGCAGCCGGCCGCCCGGCACGTCAGCGAGTTGCACTGCGCGCAGTCCCGGCCGGGGTTCCTGCCGATCCGATGCAGGTACTGCGCAGATCCCGACCAGTGACCAGCGCGCAGTTGGTGCACATCAACCGCCACCTCTCGTGGAGTAGTGCTGGGCAGCGGTGCGGGTAGGTGGCCGTCCATTAGCCGCCTATACCAGCCGTCCGGCCAGTTGCTGATCGCCTCCTTTCTGGCCATCCGGGACGCCGCACGGTACACTGTGCGGACGTCAACCGGGACTCCCTGCTGTGGGAGGGCGGCGGCTTCCTTGGCGATAGCGTCCACCCGCTCATTTCCCTCCAGCTCACAGTGGGACGGCACCCATTGGAGGTGGACCCTACGGTCCCCGCCAGCCACCAGTGCCCCCATGTGCTCCCAGATGGCGGCACCTAGAGGGGACGTCTGGGCCGCTGGTCCTCCTCTCAGCGTCGCAAGTGACGCCTGTGAGTCGGAGCATATGATGATATCCTGTTCGAGGGGTGGGTGCTCCAGGAGATGTCGCACTGCCGTCTTCAGCGCCACCATCTCAGCCCGGTAGCTAGAGCATATTTTTCCCGCCGCCTCTCGCAGAGCTTCCGTCGTTCCGTCTGGGTGTTCGATTAGGACCCCGGCACCGCCATTCGTCACTCCGCCGGTCGCCGACCCGTCGGTCCAGGCCCACGTCGCACACTGGGGGAGCGCTCCCAGGCACGCCTCCGCAGCGCTTCGCCTCATCGACGCGGTCGCTCCGATCGGGAGCGGGCCGATGTCCAGGCGGATCGTCACGTTTTCCGTCGCTGTCCACGGGGGCGGCCTCGTGGCTAGGCGAGCCTCGACGGGTAGCTCCACGCCGGCGCGGTCCCACACCGCTCTTCCTCGGTCTTTCCATCCGGTCACGGACTTGAGGCGCGGCACGGGGGCGGCCTCCGCCACGGCGTGCAGCGGGTCCTCCGGCGGGAGAGAGTGCGCTTTCGCCAGCAGGCGTGCTGCCAGCGCATCCCTCCTCGCCGCCATCGGCACGACGCCCGCTTCTGCTCTCACGGCGTGCCTCGGGGTGGAGATCGGACAGCCAGTGATGGTGCGTGCCGCCGCCAGCATCTCCACTTCCAAGACGCCGAGATGCGTTGTCGCAGCCGCAGGCAGCCACGCCGCCGCCGCGTGTTCTATGGCGCTGCGGATGTATCCGTTTGCCACCGTCCGGAGGAGTCTCTCGCCGAGCCCCCACGACCTTCCGGTGAGCTGTCTGAGTTGGTTGATTCGTGGTCTTGTCTTTCTTCGTAGACGACGGCAGTGCGGCCCGAAGTGTAGGAGTCTGTCCAGTGTGACGCCCAGGAGGTGGAGGGTCTCCTGCGCCTCGACTGTGTTTCCAGCTACCTTGATGCGGCAGTCCTTGGCGTCCTTGGCTTGATGCGACCAGATCAAGCTCGCCTCAGGCGGGAGCTCCGCCAGACGACTTTCCGCCGCCTTGGCTCGCCAGCCGTCGCGCCCAAACTCGCTTCAGGCCGTGAGTCTATAGCCGGCGCGGTGGCGTGGCTTCGCCATACTAGCCTTGGGCGGGTTGTCCTCAGAGAACGCGTTCGCATTGGCGAGGAGGCGAGCAGCGCCACGAGTCCTGAAATGACCAAACAATATCAATAGACAATCAAAATTGTGAAAATTGGCATTAACTGCGCAACTGATGTTTGCTTCTTTGTTTATTAGGGTTTACGGGCGCTACGGTGGTCATTTTGCACCCATGACGCTGTTCTGGTGAACCTGCGCAACTGAGCAGTTATCATGCCATAACTTATATTTGGCGTAGTGGCAGGGTTCCACCTAAAATTTCGGCGCACGTCAGGTGTAAAGTTACATGCGACAAATTCAGCGCATGTCAGTTGGGGAGACTAGCCCCGCGTTCGATGTCTCCCGGACGGCAAAGATTCTACGCCGTCCGGCCAATCACGTTTTATAACCACAGCCGAGCCCCCGCTGACCTTGGACGGGATTGGCTGGACGACGTAGAATCTTCGTCATCCGAGAGACATCGAACGCGGGGTAAGGCTGCTGGAGTGCTGGAATAATAAAAAACGAGGGCACCAAAAATTGATCCTAAATGACCATACTTGGACATTAATGCAGACCCTCTCTGTATCACCAATTGTCAGAAAACAACCATGTGTTTGAAAGAGCGTTAGAGAGTCATGAAGCCAGGATAAAACACAGTGCTATTTTCTCAAAGCAGCTTTTACATGATAGAGTTAGGTAACTCTCTCTCCGTTAGCCATTCGCAAGGCCAAAAAGGCCTATTGGTTTTGAAAGGCATTGGATTACAAGCTGAGCATTTTTTACTTTATCATAAAATGTTAAACCTGCGTGTAGATGAAGTCTGAACGGTGGTTTGTAGGCTGATAGGTTGGAGGTTGGAGGTTAGTAGGGAAGGGAAGGTCAGAATAATTTCTGCTTTTTATTTTCATTGGACTTTAGCCTTCATCAACACACGCATCAAAAATATTTACTTGAGCATCTTCAAGCCTCAATATACAAGATGTGCCACAACAAATTAAAAATTGATGATATACCAATATATGGTCATGATTTTTACCACCAGAATTGAATTAAATGCCTATTGATGCCTTACCTAATATTTTGATACCTGAAATCTGATTAACCAAGCATTTTTTCTTGTGAATTGGCAGTCTAAAATTTGGCTGGCTTGAGCACGACGCTATTGCTCTAGCAGAATCTCAAACAGATGTCTACCAAGTGCCACTCCCAAGAAAGTTTTTCAAGATTCTAAAACCACAAACTTTGTTGCTGCCTGATCATGTGATGGTTAATCAAATGATAGCACTCCATCTGAGGCCAGTTTTACAAACAGAAAATAGCCACCTGACGGATTATTTTGCCTCAAGGCTAATTCACATATGGAGCGTAAATGGTGAAGCCCAGGTTTAAAAGGAACAGGTTTCAAGACAATCGGCATGACAAACCAACACCTTACCTGCAGTTTAAGTTTGTCGATTTCTTTATCAAAATCTAGTCTTCGTCTAATCCACAAATCAAGATAAAATTACTGGATAGGTACAACTTCTTCTTATTCTTCTTCTGCACCTCACCCGCCGCCCCCTACACTTCTCCCTTATTCTGATAAATATATTTACATAATTTTCACAAAAATGCCACTCAACGGGGTAGATCTAAAAAAGTGCAGGGCTTAAATTTTGAGCTATAGAGTTCTCACCCCACGTTCGATGTATCTCGGACGGCGAAGATTCTACGTCGCCCGGCCAATCCCATTCAAGGTCAGCGGGGGCTCGGCTGCGGTTATGTAACGTGATTGGCCGGACGGCGTAGAATCTTCGCCGTCCGAGAGACATCGAACACGGGGTCAGTGATTTTGAGACACCCATTATGTCTTCGGCACGCCGTATTTGTCTCTCACTGCCTGCGAATTCGGCGATATGATTGGTCGAAGGCCGACGCTATGGGTCCAAGAAAAGGCCAAGATTCCTGCCAAGATTCTTACAGGTAGCCAAGGCCGATGACTGACGTGACTGACGGCATGTTACTGCCCTTGGCATATTGCCAATGCACTGCTCGGTCATATCCGCAGTAATGTCAACAGTCATATCGGAAGTAATATGGTAACTATACGCAAAAACCATTTGGCGTATAGCTACCATACTTTTCCGATAACGAGACATTCTAGATCAATCTCTCTGCTGTTGGCGACATCTGCTGAGAAATCCCAAGACCGAACGCAAGCACATAAAAGTAATGCACTCTAAGGATGCGTTCGAAATCTGGGAAGTGACGGATTTCATTTCTCAATGCGTGTCCCACTCCAGCCTTCCCCATGCTGTTCGTTCCGCCATCTATTGCCATGTTTCGCATTCGCATTTCATGAATTCACCACCCCGCCAAGTAGGTTGGTATCAAGTTGGTATAGGTGTCGCATCGCTCTGGTCGATCAGGCTGAGCCAGCTGTCTGGAGAGTGGAGCCGATCCGAAAAAAAACGCAGAAATTCAAAAGACCGACTCCAAAGCAATGGCAGCATGCATATCAATAGAGCGTAATTCTGTCATGATTGCGTCAGAAGCAAACATAATGGCAAGAGTTTCTTGTGTGTCGGTAGGCGCGTGTGGAGCCGCTGGACCGACCGGGGACGTACCCAAGGGGGGACGGACGGGGTGCGCCTCCCCCCTAGGGGTTTTCAGGGCCCATGCTGGCAGAAGGCCCACGTTGGCCAAAATCACGTCGGAGACGAACGAAATTCATGGGAATCCCCCAAAAAATCACGTCACAGGACAATCAAGGCTCTCCGACTCGCCTGCCACCTAGGATCATTCAATTTACTACATGGGGCCTCCTGTGAATAGCCGCTAGTGTCTGTGTCTGACCACCTCTGACTCCTCGGGTAGAGGGCCCTCTGTAGGTAGGAGGCTCTCCAGGGCCTCCTCTAAGGATTTTTCACTGGGTGGGCAAAATTTTCGCTACTCCCCTGCCCAAGGGTGGATCCAGCCACTGTTTTGGGGTTCAACCAATTTCATAACCTGTTACCGGGGGGGGGGGGGTGAGGCGAAATAAGCAGTGCCGTTATTGGAAATAAGATGATAGTTTGCACAGTTAACGTTTGTCGTATGTTTTATGGTTAGCAATGCTCGAGCGATTCGTTCCAGAGTTACATGTACAGCCCTCTGCAAACTGCGTGGTAGGTAGGTATTCTTATTCGGTATTCTTGCTATTTTGACAATGCACCAGTTTTTGTGACCTTGTGACCTGACCTCGGGTCACTGGAACCTAAAACTCCAAGGCCAAGTGACAAACAGATGCTCCAAGTCGTGTCTTAACCCTCGCCCATGTAGGGGGGGTTGGTGCAACCCCCCCCCCTGAGGTTTTTCGGAAATAGTGCAAAAACGGCGGCGCGCAGCGCCGCCAAATTTTGGGTACCTTATGGGGCAAACCTTGCGCATCTTTTGATAAAAAAAAATTGACCGGGTCATGTCAGGTCACGGAGTTATGACGTCACAAAGGGAACAGCCTCCGGCCGGATTTTCACAAACTGAGTGCCAACGCCCGAGGTTTCCTGCCGGTGGTACGGACATCGGTTGATGGATCGTGATGAAACTTCCCATGCATGTTGGGGCAAGTATTGGCTATCATATGGTATAAGAAACTTGACCGGGTCAGGTCAGGTCACGGAGCTATGACGTCACAAGAGGAACAGCGTCCGGTACTATTTTTGAAAAGCGCCCGAACCACTATTTTGCTAATTCTTGTCACCTCAATGGGAATATGCAGCAATATTAGCTTCTATAGGGAGCAAATGAACATCCCAAATCCAAAAATACAATCAGATTTCAAAAATTTAAATTTTGATTTTTCGAATTTCTGCCGCCGACTGTGACCTTGCCGACTTCCGGCGCTCCCAACGCGCCATTTTTGGAGCTAGGGAAACGAAATACATACCAAACGATAGAGAATTGATCAAGGAACACGATAGTGAAGGTTTCAAGTCGATATCTCCCACCGTTTTGCCGCAATCGCCGCGGAAAATTTGAAAAAGTCTATTTTTCCGAAAATTTGACCTTTGACCGGTCAAAAGTAGGTCAAATGTTGACCTAGGACCAAAAAATATACCACCAATCGCGAGATCTCGGCGAGAGCAATCCGTTGGTCTTTTCCGCTAAGCTCTACGACGCTCCGTTTTCAAACGCCAAGGGGGGGTCGCACCAACCCCCCCCCCTGCATGGGCGAAGGTGGCAGATCGCCGTTTACGGGCGAGGGTTAAATTTGGTAGCGCTACGTGCTATAGAACTCACGCTATCAACGAAAAACTCTAGCATTCGGTTGCCGCTAAACTGTTAGTCCAATTTTCCCCTGACCTTGTACCGGGTTTGTGACCTGGTGACCTGACCTGAAAAGACTAGAGACCTGAGATTTTCAGGACAAGTACCAAAAGGTTGCCCTAGAGGGTATGCGAAATTTGAGCGCCGCCGTTTTTACGTTATTTGTGAAAAACCTTAGGGGGTGCATCAACCCCCCTCATCGGGCGAGGGCTAACTAACATAATACATTGTAGTAAAGGCTACCCGAACCGGTAATGATTCTTGCTTATTTGTTCAGCTCAGCCGTATTTAGAGATTTAGCTGGCTTTGTCCATGAATAACAATATCGGCAGGGACGTAGCCAAGGGGGAGGGGCCACGGGGGCAATGGCCCCCTCCCTTGAGCGCAAAACGCGCCATGGGAGAGCCGCTCAGGCCCCGGGATATTTTTTTTTCAAACACTGGATAAAACGTCTTTTACTCGGAAGAAAATTGATATCGAAGTTTCATTTCTCTGGCCTTCTGATGACCCAATGGGCCCCTGCACTCATCCGATGACCCCCGGTTTTCTGGGGCCCCTGGTCGCCTAGGGGGCCCCGGTCGCTTGAGGGCTAGTCGCCTGGGGGCCCCTGGTCGCCTGGGGGCCTGGTCGCCTGGCCCCTGCCCCCTGGTCGCCTGGAAGAACGTTTGTCACCTGCAGTGGCATAGCCAAGGAGGGGGCCAAAGGGACCATGCCCCCCCCTGGAAGCCAGGGGTCCTTATTCTATAGGGGCCCCTGGCTGACACAGTGGGCCCTTGGCGACGCAAAGGCCCCTGCGGCAGATCCTTTGACACAGCTGAGTAGTTATACTTTGGCCAAGAGAGCCCCAATTTTAGAGCCTTGGGGCCCTATTGAAACCAGGGGGCCAGTTGGATGGGATGGGTCCAACTTGGGTCCAACGGTGTGTAAACAGAATCAATGCGTTCCGACTGTTGGTCTGACCCTATATCGGTTTGAGGGAGCTCGGATCGGATCCACTGTCGATTTGAGGGGGCCCTATCGGTTTGAGGAAGCCCTCAAATGCCCTGAACGGGTCCTTAGTTTGTCTGCGAGAGCCCTCCGTCGGCATGACTGGGCCTCTGCAAGTGCAAGGAGGGCTTTTGTCGGTCTTAGTGGCCCTTAGGCGGCTTATATGACCCTCAGACGGCTTACGAGGCTCTCATGCGCTGTAGGGGCCTCTGACGGTCTGAAGAACCCTCATCCGACCTACGAGCCCTCAGACCGCCCTCAAAACCGACTGGCGACTCTATGAAGCTATTCGTGGGCCTATCTAACAGGGCCCATGGACTGCTTACCCCTAAGTTCTAATATTTTTGTTAATAATTTTTTTTTTCCTATTTATTTGGGCCCCCTCCAAAAAATATTGGATGCAACCAGATGGCTTTTTGGATTTTGAGGGGGTTATCTTGGGCCCCTGTGCGTTTGGCCCCCTCCTTGAGGAAATCCTGGCTACGCCCCTGAATATCGGGCAACCAGAAAACTTTTTTTGACCTTCAAACAGCATCTAGTTTGCTTAAGACCAGAAAGGTAGTACCGGACGTCCGGCCGGACCAGAATTTTTGCATTTGCTTCTGGGTGGGCAAATCGACGCCACTGGGTGGGCAATTGTGGTGACTGGGTGGGCATTTGCCCACCCAGTGGGTATGTTAGAGGAGGCCCTGAGGCTCTCTCTACGGGATTCCTCCGCTCCCCCCCCCCGGCCAAATTTTAGGTTATACGTGCCTGCGCTAAGCCGGCGTCGGAGAGAGGAGTTGACGACCGAATGACAAGGAGTACTCGTCCTGAAAGAAAACATTTGGAATACAAACAATCCAAAGCTGTTCAGTATTTATATCATTCGATCTATTCGCCGGTTTCTAGAGATGTACCAAATTTAATCTGAATCGGCCCAGCCGTTTCCAAGATCGGGAAACGACCCCTACACGTGCGCACGTGCAGCTGCACCCCAACCGCGGCACATGAAAGTACATACTTACTGACTTGTGCACGGCACCCTACCAACCAGTCTCTAGTGGTATGCCAAATTTGAGCACAGTCGGTCCAGCCGTTCTTGAGATATGGAAACGTCAGCCTGCACGTGCGCACGTGCAAACTGGGTCCCATCTGACTTGTGCACGGCACTCTACTCGCCGAGCCCTAACGATGTGCCAACTTTGATCACAATCGGCCCAGCCGTTCTCGAGATCTGGAAGCGTCACCCTGCCCGTGTGCACGTGCAGCGGCACCCCAACCGTGACACATGGAAATGCATTGCACGGCGGGTGCCTACATCCATGCCAAGTATCAGTGCAATCGGCAAACTAACTACAGAGTTATCAGACTTGTTACCGAAGTGACACCTCTTCGTTTTGCACGTGGCACGTGCATTAGGGTCACCCATACGCATCGAGAGTAGCACACTACGTTTGGGAACGGAAGAAACTATCCCACACAAAGGACCGCGAGTGAATCGGTCCAGTGGTTGCAGAGATATAAGGTTTGTAAAGGCGCCCCCACGGCGGCCGACTGCTAATATTTAGCAATAATCAGTCTTGCATCCGCACACGGGAGGTATCGCCGTCACCTGTTCGTATGCTCATTGTGGTTGGGTTCAAGTCACAGTCGAGCCCTGCTTTTTTACAACTTTTCTTCGAAACGGCACATCGTGCAGTGACGTTCTATACATTGTTGGAAAGAGCATCGAAAGTTGTATATTTTATTAACTTTTCACTTTTATATATCACTGACGATTGCTGGAACCGACTTTCCGTCGACTTTGATGGCGCAGTCCACGGCGTCCGCGGCGCTCTTGGAGACGACGAGCAGCTGCGTATTTCACCCGCTACCAGCATCTTGGACTATTTTGCCCAGCACACTACAGCGTCCGTCGCCTGCTGCGTCCGGCCCCAGCTCAGCGTCGTCTGTTTCCATTAACACTCTGAAATGACAAAACAATTAGCAATTAAAATCAAAGTTCAGCACTGACCAAGTTTAACCAAACTTGCCATTTCAACATAACACAGTGAGCTGTCAGAATGCTGTTCTTTTGTGCTTTGACACAGTTGCAAAATAGGTACCTTCATACGCATATCATAGAAGTAATTACCGGTTATTATTATTGGAGGAATTTTTGCAGCATTCTCGTCAAGTAAAATACATTATCTTCTTTAAAAGGACCATAGTTTTGTACATCCTAACATCTTCAAGAAGCAGTGGTGGTATATGCTACTTTGCGCGCAACATCGGTCGCACTTTTAAAATACCAAATAACTGTTTCCCAATGACTTCGTATGAACAGCGTAGGCCCCGGGAAATAAATAATAAGTGTAATATCTATTAAAAACAACATTGAATATTTTTCGATGGAAATTAATGTACACCAGTAGAAATTCCTTTTTGCTCACTCTCATCCATTGGACATCACTTTTATGCCAATTCATTAACTTTTTTGAGGGTGGGAGGGTCTCTTTAGGCGTTCAGGCTGCTCAATAGTATCTACACGCTTTTGCCAATGTACTGTATGTACATCCCAAGCACCGCGCATCGGTGCGGTGGATCCATCAAGCCCGATCGAGGAAAGGCTGCTAAAGTTGAGAGTCACTGAGCCAAAGTGAGCCTTTATCCATCCCCAGGTCCACTGGTCCGGCTACTCTAAAATCAAACAGCATTTCCTCCGTCGGAAATCCACCGCACCGATACGGCGGTACTTTTAAAGACTGACTGTACTGTGTGGCACGATCCATCGTCGACAGAGGACAAGACAGGTGACTAATAATGCTTTCCTAGTTGATGATGCTAAATCTATGTGCCATTATCTGTATCGTACTGAGCAATGAGCATCAATAATAGTGGCATAACACTATGTTTTACACTCTGAGATGGGACGCGGCGACGATGGGATGTCACCTACCACACCGCCAGTGTGTGACGCCGCGCACGGTGGCCCGCAGCGCCGGCCCGCCGGCGCGGCGTCGACGGTAACGATCGCGCCGACCAGATCGCCCAGGAGGCGGCCGCGCTCCCCCAGGCGGCGGTCCCGGTTGACGTCGCTACCGCCCACCGTGCGGCCGTCAGATTGGCCCGCGACCGCACCACCGCCGCCTGGCCGGAGGGCTGGTACAGGACCCTGATGGGGAACCGGCTGCCGCCACCGGTCGCGGCGAGGAACAGATCGTCGGCCGTCGACGTCCACCAACTCCGCGCGGGCCACTGGTCGGGCTCCCGCCAATACCTCCACCGGGTTGGACGGAACTCTTCCGACGATTGCCGCCAGTGCCCTGACACCGACTGTACGGCGGGCCGGTGCACCGTGTGCCGGGAGGAGGCCGACACGTCCCGGCACCTCTTCTTCCGGTGCCCAGCCCTCATGGGCTGGCGTCTCCGGAGGTACGGGACGATTTTCCCGAGCCCAGAAGACGTCCGCGACGACGGAGAGGTGGCGGCCCTGGCGGCCGCCGTGAGGGACCTCCAGAGCCGCACGGCTACACCGCGGTAGCGCGGCGCTGAGCTGACGCCGCTGCTCCACTCTGGTCATGTCGAGGTCAGTGGCCAGCAGCTGGTGGTACGCCGGGTCAGGTCAGGGGACGCGGGCGTATGCCGAGATCGCCGAGCTCGGAGGTGGGCAGCGCGGCGCGGAACACGCGACTGGAGGTGACAGTGACACGCCGCGCTGTCATCGAACCCAGTCAGCTGCTGGTGACCACCAGACAGCCCGCTCTGCTGACCTGTCACGTGACGCCGCCCCTGGCAGCCGGCGACATCATCTGGTTCAAGGACGGCCGCCGTCTGCCCGCCGCCGCCAGCCAGCCGGCTCTGCAGCTGACCGGCGGCAACCCGTCCGTGGCCGGCATGTACCAGTGTCACGTGACCGATGACCTCGCCACCACCCAGGTCAGGATCGGAGCGTTGCCGGCTCGGCTGCTGTTGTCGCTGGTTCAGCAGACGGTGCAGCCGGTGGTGGACACTGCGGTCACATTCACCTGTGCGGCCACCGCGTCACCGCCGCCGGCTGTCAGGGACGGCGTCAGCGCCGACCAGCTGGGCGGCAGGTTCCACGTCCAAGACAGCACCTCTGGAGTTAAGGACGTCACTAGTCAGCTGACGATTCAGCAGGTGTCCCGGGAGTACGGTGGGCTCTACCCGGCCGTGGCCAGTTCACAGCTAACCGCTCCGACGGATCGCCCTCCCGGTTCTGAGCCCCGGCGTCACTGCCTCCCATTGACAGACTTTTCTGGCGGCGGCAGCGGAGATATCATTGCTCCGTCTGCGGCGTGGATGGCCAGCCGGGTGGTAGACTCTGTGGTGCCGGCCGCGCTGTGGGCGCTCACCAACAGCTGGTAGACTGTGACCGGCAGCAGACTGCACAACTCGGCCACGTCCAGGTCGGCCGGGAGCTGGCCCTCGCGCCGCCAGCACGCGCCGCCGGCCAGTCACAGGCAGCTGAGACCGATGGAGGAGGGTGACACGACCCGGCAGGTCAGCTGACGCGGCGCCACCTCCGGCACTCCCTCCTCTGTGGTGGCGGTGACGGGCGAGCTGGCAGGACCCTGGCCGGCTCGGTTACAGGCGCTCATCGGGACTGAGTATGCCGTGTTGGGCCGCAGGTGTTTGAGGAGCAGCACCAGCTCCGGTCGGCGGATAGACCTGGTCAGGGTGGTCTGGTCGGCCAGCCGGACGTAGGTGGCCGTGTATCCGTCCGTGGGTCGGCGACTGCGGCGGCGGCGGGCTGCACGTCAGCCGCAGTGTGCGCGGCCCGGGTACTGGCCGGGCAGGCGCGGCCGCTACTGGTGCAGTGCCTGGCGGTGGGCTGGCCGGCGGCGCGGCCCGTCTGGAGCGCCGACCGGCCGCTCGGCGTCGGCCGTCACTGGGTGCGGCTCGGCTGGAGTCTGCTGGGCTGGAGTACTTTTCTGCTGCCGCCAGAAAAGTCTGTCAATGGGAGGCAGTGACGCCGGGGCTCAGAACCGGGAGGGTGATCCGTCGGAGGGGTTAGCTGTGACCTCCCACCGGGGAAGGTCAGCTATCACTGGGAAGGGTTCGCTGCCACCAGCCACCGGGCAAGGTCATCCCCCACCAGGGAGTGTCAGCTGTCTTTGGGGAGGATCAGATGGCGAGGATCAGCTGTCATTGGAGAGGATTCAGCTGTCAGGAGAAATACCACTTTTATTATGGGGTTCAGAACAGCTGGAATGGCAGCTCTGTAGCTTGAGCAGACACCATGGGCGGCCGAACGAGGAGGGCACCGGGGCACCGTGCCGTGCCCCCCTTTGGCTTTGGCATTTTAACATTAGCCCTATGGGCGTTGCATGGAAAGAATGGGACTTGGACCAAAAGTCGGCAGTGTCCCCCCCCCCTAATTGAAGGTGTTCCGCCGCTACTGGCTGACACCTGACATAAGCGTATATTTTAAGTCTTAGCACCCCAGCAACCACTCTAGCCAAGGATTTATGTTATCAATTTGATCTGAATCTTCTGAATGGAAGGGTTCACAAGGACATAGTCCCCGCTGAGAGGAACATGTTGGCATGCCCTCCACATTCTAAGCACACATACTGGGCTAGGGCAGAATTTGGTCTGAAATCGTATGTACGCACAAAACCATGCATAGCCAATCCCTTACTGACAAAGGCTGGCTACAGCCTGCCAGCAGCCATAACCATACCCGTGAGGAGTCTCATAGCAGCACCCGGAGCACGTGCTGCTCCGCTGCCGGGCCCTCGCTGGCTCCCGTCGAGGTATTGGGTTTACGTGGAAATAAAAACTAATTCGGACGCTCAAACATGGGATAGTGTACAAAGCCCCGAAACACTCTGCCTGGTTGATATAGCCTTGATCAGTATATGTGCACATGTGCTTTAAATGAAAAGGACTTAATTTTCGCACAAATAGCCACCTAATTTTTGGCGCAAATCACTCAGAAATTTCGGCGCAAAATCGCTTGCGCCGAATTTCGGCGCAAGATGGTCTCACGGGCGTCCGGCGTAGTGTATGGATGTTTTCCAGTCTGGCCCGTGAGGAGTCTCATAAACAAGATATATTAAATATTAATTTTAATTCTGAAATAACTCCCATATCTGCATGATACAGGAGTGTGGTGAATAGAAAAATGCAACTAGGTAATGCAGCCACTCGGACAGGATTCAGCCATTCATCATGCTGTTGGTTTTGTAGGTACTCGGAGCACTCAGCAGTGTACCAAAATCATATTTTTGCTTGGGTGTCAGATGGGAAAATTGCTGACCAAAAAAAGGATGAGAGTGAAAATTGCGGGTCAGGTAAGGCCCAAAAAGAGTGGGAAACTGATCAAAAACATTAATCTATCTACAATTGTGACAGATGTAAAACAACCATTCCCGCAATCACTGAAAAAAGTTTTTACCATCAATTTACTAAGTTACTAGCTTTGGTAAATTTTACCATCAGCCTACCATCATATTACTACCAGCCTACTATGGTGCTGAATACTATCCTGCCTTGACATGTTGATATTACCATGGTTACGTTTATCAGGGGTGGTTTTGTACCCCAGTTTACAAGGTGGTAACCACCTGAGGCTAGTAGATACCCTCGTAAGCTAATATTCCCTACCATAGTAAAATCAACCTTTCCACGGGCGGATCCAGCAGGTGAATTCGGCGATCAAGTCTCCTCCTTTCCATAGAGGTGTTTGCCAATTTTTGATATGTTGGAAGGAGCGTCATCCAAGGACTAGCTGAGACCCTGAGCAATTAATAGTTTTATGGACGAAAGGCCAGAAATTTCTTGCAACAGTTCCCTGGGTGTGCTTCTGCTGCTATGGTAAGGTATACCATGGCAACACCATGACAACACTACACCCTTACTAACAATCCACGTGCGTCTGACTCTGCTGCAGCGGCGCCGCCATGTCAGTTCCGGCCGCGCGCCGGCGTTGTGAAGGTGCTCCGTGGTTTTAAATATTTGAACGGTGATTGTGTGGGTGGTTAGCGTAGCTGACGGTGGAGGATACTCGGAAATAACAAGTAAGTCGTTGTATCTTCAGCATAATAATACTTATCTCACGAGTGCCATTTCCAGCAAAGATCGCAGCCTTTGTTTCGGTTCATGTTGTTGAATTTCCTTGAGACCCTGTTGGACCGGGTAGGGGGAGGGTGGTGGGGTGGGTATCATTGCGGGCATTTCCCAGCGTCGGAAATCAACGTGTTTTTTTATTTGTTAACCCACGCCTCACTGGGGTATGTGCTCTAACGCGCCCCACAGCACGTTACAGCACGTTACAGTGGGGGGGGGGGGGGGGGCTCCTAACTCCGAAACTACTGGGCCGATTGTCAAAATTCAAACGGCCCCTGGTAGCCCTGGAAATATTGTTGAGCGAAGCCTAATGTCATTGACCTCGAGGTCATCGATGACGTCACAGGTCAGGTCAAAGTAAAAATATCAGCGTCTTGGCACTCTGGGCGCCGGCCAACAAATCAGATTAGGCTCATTTTTTGTTTGCACACTCGTAAATATATGCGTAACATAACCTGAGGGTACCGAACTTGTACTTCGAATTTTTCAGGTCAAGGCCATCTCATCCCAGGTCACAAAAGCTTTATATCGTGCATCGGTGACGTGAGACATGTTTTATGGTTCATGTAGGCCATATATATCGAAATCAGTGTTGTATGTGTCAGTTTAGGCCATTTTAGCTGAATATAGCTGAGGTCAGGTCAGGTCACTTTAGGTCAAAAATGGTCAAATTTTGAAGTTGACATTTTTCAACAAAAAAGGTGTTTGTCAGATGAAGTTCACATATATTCAACGCATATGTGTTCAAACACATATAGACCCCGTTTCCATGGGCATCACTGATCCGGATCAGCAAACTTAAATCGTATTATATTTCTCGAACTCTTCGTTACATGATATAATTCCAAGTGGATTAGGCTTATATAATCAGTTAATCCCTTATTTTCATTTTCATATATTGTCTAACTATACTGGATTAGCTAATCCATTTTTACTGATCCGGATCAGTGATGCCCATGGAAACGTGGTCATATTCTGCTTTTTTTCATTCAGAAACGTATATGTAAAAAAATAAAAAATACAATTTCTGAGTTTTTATATTTATAATTTTCAAAATATTCAACATTTCGAAAGTCCGAAATCAGTTTGGTAGCCCTGTAGAGTCCACCCATGCAAAAAAAAAGGATCTAGCTTAACCCTCAAGGCGGTGGGGGGGGGGGGGGCATTTTTTGCATCCATCTTTAGTTTTTTTTTTTTCGATATATCTCCAGAACCGCTGCGCCGATCTTCACCAAACTTTCAGTACCCTTTTGCACATTGTGACCAAATTTTTTTTCCAAAGGCTATGATAAGTTGGCCGCTACGTCGGAGTGACGTCATTTCTGCCATTGTCGACCAAAAAAAAGCTTCGCGGGAAGAGCTGTCAGGTCTATAAATTTGATTATGCATAAAAATGTTCAAGACATGAAATGTGTAGAATTACCAGGGCTACTATACTGTTCTCTCGATTTTGTTTTTGAAGTTGACCCCAAAAATAAAAAGAAATAGATATAATAGCTAAAAAATCCCAAAAGTTTTTCGATTTTCGAAACAAACGGAATATATATAATAGCCACTATGGACTTCTATTCACATTCCAAGTATTAGATCGATAACTCCTTTTTGCCAAGTTATAACAAAAAAAAAACTGTTCAAAATTAATGACGTCAAATTTTCAAACTCGATTTTGGCAATTCTAGACCACAAAGCGCAAAACAAAGACCACCATTAGACTCGCCGTGACGAGTGGCATCGAATCAATACCAATTTTATGCGAAACTATCAACTTTGACCTGAAATTTGACCTTTTTGACCTGACATTGACCTGACCTCCACCAGAAAGTGACCAAAAAAACCGTCCCTGATGGTCTTATAACCAACACCATTGAGGCGAATATGAAAAATTGGCCATAAAACATGCATCGCACAACCCTACTTAGTAAAGATAGGTTCATGTGCTGACCCTTGGTGATCGGACCTGGTATTATCAGTGACCTCCAATAGCAACATATGCTCGTATAATAGGCAACTCACGCCCTATCGCTGATTTTTGACAAAATGCCCTTTACTCGATGTTGCAGCGCATTCCTTAAAAGACCCGTGAACGGTGAAACATTTTATCTTTGACTTGGCCTGTGATGTCATCGGTGACCCCGAGGTCAATGAAATTGAAGTTCCCTCGACAAATTTAACAAGGCTATCGAACGCCATTTAAATTTTACCGATCCGTCATAGTAGCTTCGGAGATTCGGGGGGGGGGGTCAAAAATCCCCCCCTCCCACCGCGCGGAAGGTAGCCGGGAGGCCCACCGCTTGCCGGGTTAAAACTCAGATCTTGAGAGCGATTACCGTTGTTCAATGCTTTGCATCAAAATCGGCCGAACATGATGTCACTCTGGCGTCATTTCCGGCCGATCTATAGTAGCTACGAAAATTTTATTAGTGCACAAGGTGTCAAATAAATTGATGCAGCCGAAGGTCCTAAAAGCTTTGTTTTGATACGTCCAGCGGTTTTAAAGATATTGCGTAAACACGAGAGGGGCTATGAATAGCCCTCCCCACAGTAGGGTGGGGGTTAACCCTCGCCCGTATTGGTGTTTTTCCAGCCACGAACGTTTAAGGGGGGGGGGGGTCCGTTGAACCCCCTCCTTGCCGTTTCGCCCCTGATTGAGCTAGAGCTTCGCGGAAAAAACGAGCGTGCTGCCCGTGACGAGAGAAAGCCGATGGTACCCAATTTTATCCTAGGTCGTCGGTCCTAGGTCATCGGTTGACCTTCCAGGTCAGGTCAATGACCCAAAAGTGGGGAAAACTGGGACCTGTTAGAACGTCGTAAAACGTGGCTGCTATTGGGTTTTTTAGGGAACTGATCACGAATATCATGTTAGCTATGATCATAGATGATGTCTTCATGCATTTAGGCCAGGTCGGGTCAGGTCAGGTCAGGTCAACCAGTAAGGGTTTTGCCGGGTATTCGTAGTAGGTGCACTAGGTGGCAACCGCCTCTGACAGCTTCGTAACATGTTACGAAGGCACCAAAACTACTTCGTAAATGTTCATATATGGTTGTTAAATTCGAAATCAGCTAAAAAAACTAGCCTAGAAAGATGCTGATAAAACTCGAAAAAGTAAACCGAGGTCATCAAAGGTCAATGAACTGACCTGACCTTCTGGTGACCTTGACATCCACCCTAATGCATGGGAGCAGCATCATATCCCATGTTTGAACGCTTGAAACCACGAAAGGACTGCAAACGCGCGGCAAATGCGAGCCGACATACGCCGAATCGCGATTCCGGCCAAACATGGTCTCGAAAAGTAGGTCACAGGTCAAAGGTCATTAGTCAGGGCCATTACATTTTTTAGGGTAGGTGTAAAATTGATTATAACTCGAGGGTACTGAAAGCTTCGTTGCGGTCGGCCGCTTTTTACGCGAGGTATTCGCGAAAAACCGAGGGGGAGTCCGTTCGACCCCCCCCCCCCCTATACGGGGGAGGGTTAACAAGCCAAAACGTTGCTAATTTTTATTTTGATCTGACCTGTGACGTCAACGGTGATCTCGAGGTAAATAAAATTAGGTTTTGCTCGACAGTTTTTCCAGGGCTATCAGACGCCGTTTCAGTTTTGACAATCGGCCCAGTAGTTTCGGAGTTGGAGCGGGGGGGGGGGTTCTATAAATAGCCCCCGCCTCCCCCAGTGGAGTGCGTTACAGAACATACCCCAGTGGGGCGCTGGTTAAGAGTAGAATTTTTGAATTATTGCCAACACTCAACACTGCACCTCATGGCAATTAATTCATTATAGGGCATTTTACCTGAACCAGCCTCTGGCCTAATGTCCCAAATTTGCTAAATTCCTCACCCTACAAATCCCCTGTTCTATTAGATGCTGCCATTTTTTTTAAACAACTTATCTTAAATCCTTGTTTCATCAAACTGGGAGCTAGGTCACGGGACACTGCGAGTCAAGGTGGGAGGGGTAGGAGATAGAGTGTCACTGCAGCACACACAATCAATCTTTCCATTGGTTTATCTTATATCAATGCCTGCTCTTTTCCAGAGCTGGCTTTCGAAGTTCGAACCTTCGGTATATGGCTACCAATGCCCTTGGAGAAGGTGTTGCGTGATAAATCGCTGGAAGGGCGACATTCAACGATTGTGTGAAAAGAGACCGATTGCATTGTGATGATAAAGTGAACTGTAATAATTGTTGTTCATGCGCGTTGTTTGGTTATGTGCAGACGTAACTTTGTTTGTGGCCAAATGCTTTTTATGTGTGAAATATTTCATGTAGGTTACTAGGTAGATGCTTTGGAAAAGTGAAGAGCTGCTTTGTCGACTGCTAGGTAGATACTGTCATGCATGCTGTTGTGCATCAGTAAGTGGCTGTCGTAATGATAAACAAATTTGGCATGGATAGGCTAAAGCACAGCATATGAAGCATGCTGGTTGATGACTAGTAAGATCCTGTTAACCGACTGGTAATATCACAATAAATGTCACATAGTAAACTATTGTTTTACGATGGTTGGCCAGCAAAGCAAAGCTGGTATCCAGATGACAAAAGGATGGTTTTACCATGATAAGTCATTAGTAAGCATTACCAGGGAGTAGCTAACGATAGTAAAGTCCTAGTTTCGTGCTAGTATCACGTGGGTTTTTGGGCATGGTATGACGACATATAGTTACCGTGTTAATACCATGGTAATTTTTACTGGCATTGGTATTCACATGGTTTTACATTCATATTAGGCCTAGTATTTGGGTCGTAAGTTAGTTTACCATAGGTAAGAGGCTGTTCAAAATATGACCACCACTCGAAAACTAACTAGGGTGGTATTTTTCTTAGTAGGCGGTACCAGGATAATACTAGCGTTAGTAGAGCTTTGGTTTCTTATTAGTTATGCTTTAGTTTCAAGGTAGTATGATGAAAAAAATATTACCGTACTAAGACCATGGTATTTTGATGAGCATTGGTAGTTGCATAGTATTCCTTTGATATTGGGCCTAGTATTTGGATCGTAAACTGGTTTACCATAAGTAAAAGGCTGTTCAAAATATGACCACCACCCAAAAACTAACTAGGGTGGTATTTTTTTCTTTCAGTGATTGCTCCTTCTCGGTGGGATTGGGAGTGGAAAATTGGGCTTGAAAACTGGAGGTGAGAGTGGAAAATGATTTGCAGTTCGATGTCGTTTCCCACCCACATCTACAAATTTTGGGACACTGCGCATCAGTCAATGTACATTATGGTTCAGTCGCAAGCCTTGCTTTAATCAACGAAAAAAATCTAGCATGCATCATGAATTACCAAAATTTTTATTCATATTTTTGTTTTTACCTTTTCTCATTATTTCATGCACACCTTAAAATCATGAAACTGTAGCGAGCAACTGATTTGAAGATAGGAAAGTCCTTGGTACATTTCTCGACATTATCAAAACACAGGATCGAAAAGCGAAAGAGCGCCCTCGCCCCTTCCGTGAGACCTGCACAAACTTACCAGGAGTCTGCAGTCAGAACACGACACCGTATTCATATTGAAAAAGGGCATAGCGTATAGAAGAGTAGCGACTAGCGTCTCACTGACCTTAAGCCAAAATATTTCACTTGATGACATCCACGCAAGGCCAATGCAGTGTAGATAGGCATATCAATATAGAAATGATATGTCCAAATATGTCTTTGCCGCGTCATAGTTGTAACGCACTGCGGGGAACTCCAGAGATCTGATTGGCTAATATTAGCCAATCAGTAGCATATGTTACTGGAAACTGTCATAGTGGAAGTAAATTGGTAGCTGTTTCAGCTACCAAACTGATGAAGGAAATAGGTAAAATTGCTTATTTTACACGAACACCTGTCATACGCTAATCAAAGTAGAGCTAATGAAAATGGCATTATCCCACAAAGGAAAGCCAATTTGCCACGTAAACCACCATGAATAGATTTGCTGAGCTTTTCATCACGTGTTTTTAACAAAAACAGTCAATGAAATAATGTAATTTACGAATTTCTAGCACTCACATGCATATTTTCGTCTGCACACCGAATTGCGTCCAGGATATTGGCCATGGCGTATTTCTCGGGAACCCTCTGTTACGGGAAATTCCACTATCTGGCAACTAGCCCTATGTAAACGCGGCTAATGTCTTGTTTGCAGAGAGGCGTTGGTGTTGAATGTTGATGCTAGCTGTTTGGTTAGAGATTGGCAACACAGTGGTAAATGAATGGTAACATTAATGACGAACATTTACCGAAAATGTATGTGGCATCAGCGACAATGTCAGGCACTTGGCGATGTGGTCATGGTGCCGCGGCCAGTCAAGGTCAAAAAGGTTATCAAATGCTTAAACATTCATATACATCAAATGCTTATACAAATGCTTGTATTCAGACTTCAGTAGCTTTTGAATGCATAGGTAGACCTGAATTTTCTCTACAAAAATATTAGACGCTGTTTCCATCCTATACCTAAGCCTAAAAGTCACTTTGGATATGCTTGCCTGGCTTGCCTATTCATATTCCCAGCGCCAGGGGCGGATCCAGAAAAAAAAACTCCAAGGGGGAGGGGGTCATGAATCGAAATGGGGCCCCCTACCTATACCCAAAATTAAAAACTCAACGGATTTCGGCCACTTAATTTTTGGCGGAGCCCTATTTTAGTTTTTCCTGTTTTTTATTTTTGTTTTTCCCCCTGCCCCCTGGGCCCTGACAGAACTGTGGTGTCCCTAACAAGCCTGAAGTGTCCCTGACAGGCACGTGGTGCACCTGACAGGCCCAAGGTGCCCCTGCGAAGCCGGTGGTGCCCCTGGCTGGCCTGTGGTGCCCCTGCTAGACCTCCGGTGCCCCTGACAGGCCTGTGGTGCCCCTGAAAGGACTGTGGTGCCCCTGGGCCCTGACAAGCCTGAGGTGCCCCTGACAGGCACGTGGTGCCCTTGCTAGGCTTGTGGTGCCCCTAGCGGGCCGATGGTGCCCTTGGGTCCTGGCAGGACTGTGGTGCCCTGACAAACCTGAAGTGTCCCTGATAATCCCAAGGTGCCCCTGGGCCCTGCGAAGCTGGTGGTGCCCCTGCGAGGCCGGTGGTGCCCCTGTGAGGCTGGGGGTGCTCCTGGCCCCTGTGAGACCGGTGGTGCCTCTGGCGGGCCTGTGGTGCCCCTGGCGGGTCGGGGCCTGTGGTGCCCCTAGCGGGCCTGTGGTGCCCCTGCTAGGCCGCTGGTGCCCCTGGGCCCTGGCAGGACTGTGGTGCCCCTGACAAACCTGAAGTGCCCCTGATAAGCCCAAGGTGCCACTGGGCCGCCCTGCGAAGCCGGTGGTGCCCCTGTGAGGCCGGTGGTGCCCCTGGCCCCTGCGAGGCCGGTGGTTTTCCTGGCGGGCCTGTGGTGCCCCTGGGAATTGATAGGCCGGTGGTGGCCCTGGCAGGCCTGTGGTGCCCCGTGGGGCGCCACAAGAGCCCCAAGGGGGGGGGGCATGACCCATATGACCCCCCCTTGGATCCGCCACTGCCCAGCGCTCCCAGACTTCTCACATCTGTATAGCCGTAGCCCGTAAATACCACAGCAATGACGAGTTGCCATTTGTGCTGCCTCCAGTGCCGCTGCCTCCGCTGTGACTCCTGGTGACCCAGTCCGACCTCACCGGAGGCACCATGACCTCCTCTGCCGACGAGTCGGCGTCCGCGGAGCGTCACGAGCGCCGCTCCATCTCGTCGCTGTTCAGCTCGCGGCGCGTCTCCTCCGGTAAGCTGGCGCCGACGCTCATCGTCAACGACGAGCTACAGCTGGAGCAGACGGCTGCCGACGGTCGCAGCCTGCACTCGTTCGGCTGTCTGGCCAGCCGGAACGGCAGTGTGCTGGGCAGTCCGACACTGCACCCGCGCCACGACTCGCACCGCGGCCGCCTCACCAGTAGAGGTTAGTCCGGCACAAAGACTAGATTCACTAATAGGAAGTTAGCCTAGCACAGTGTCTGCATACAGTTACTTACTCTTAGATGGCTTGCGCAAAGCTTGGGCTAGACGTAGCGGCAACGATTAGTCCAACTTAGGTTGCAGACTCGCAAATAAAGGATTAGCGCAGTTTTGTTTAGAGTTTAGAATACCTATATGTTTAGCGCAGAATTAAGGCTTACTAGCGGAACTTATTGCCTAGCGCAGACCTCAAAATTAACCCTAGAACGCCTAGGGGGGGGGGGGGTTGTATCACCCCCCCCTGAGGTTTTTTCGAAGTGCACGCTAAACGGCTTGTCGTAGCGGGCTGAAATTTTCAATACCCTCTGGGGCAACCTTTGCGCATCTTTTGCCGAAAAAAATTGATCGGGTCATGTCAGGTCACGGAGTTATGACGTCATAAGAGGTACAGCCTCCGGCCGACAGTTACCAAACGTGTGCGCCGAATCCCTAGGTTTTCTGCCGGTGATGCCCACATTGTTTGATGGATCATGATGAAACTTCCCATGCATGTTGGGGCAAGCATTGGCTATCGTGTGGTGCAAGAAAATTGACCGGGTCAGGTCAGGTCACGGAGTTATGACGTCATAAGAAGAACAGCGTCCGGTACTATTTTTGAAAAGCGCCCGAACCACTATTTTGCTAATTCTTGTCACCTCAATGGGAATATGCAGCAATATTAGCTTCTATAAGGAGCAAATGGACCTTCCAAATCCAAAAATACAATCAGATTTCAAAAATTTAAATTTTGATTTTTCGAATTTCTGCCGCCGACTGTGACCTTGCCGACTTCCGGCGCTCCCAACGCGCCATTTTTAGAGCTAGGGAAACGAAATACATACCAAACGATAGAGAATTGATCAAGGAACACGATAGTGAAGGTTTCAAGTCGATATCTCCCACCGTTTTGCCGCAATCGCCGCGGAAAGTTGAAAAAGTCTATTTTTCCGAAAATTTGACCTTTGACCGGTCAAAAGTAGGTCAAATGTTGACCTAGGACCAAAAAATATACCACCAATCGCGAGATCTCGTTGAGAGCAATCCGTTGGTTTTTTCCGCTAACCCGCGCCCTGGTGGGGGGGCTATTTTTTGCCCCCCCTCCAGACTTTTTGATATATCTCCAGAACCGCTGCGCTGATCGTCACCAAACTTTCAGTACCCTCCCGGACATCAATTTTACACATTGTGACCAAAAATTTTTTCCAAAGGCTATGATAGGTTGGCCGGAAATGACGTCAGAGTGACGTCATGTTCTGCCGTTTTCGACCCAAAAAAGGGTTTCGCGGGAAGAGCTGTCAGGCCTATAGCTTTGCAAATACAGAAAAATGATAAAGACATAAAAGCTGTAGAATCAACAGGGCTACAAAACTGCTATCTCGGATTTTTGAAATTTTTGGATTTTGACCCCCAGAATTCAAAAAATAAATTTTTTGCATATAATAATCGAAAAATCCAAAAACTTTTTTGAATTTCGCAAAAACCGGAATATATGTGATAGTCCTTACCGCCTTCCATCCACACACAAAATTTGAGATCGATACCTCTTTTTTTGGCGAAGTTATAGCGAAAAAACTGTTCAAAATTGATGACGTCAAATTTTCAAACTCAATTTTTAGCAATTCTAGACCCCGTAGCGCAAAACAAAGACCACCATTAGACTCCCCGTGACGAGCTGCATCGAATCAATACCCATTTTATGCAAAACTATCAACTTTAAAATTTGACCTTTTTTGGCCTGACCTTGACCTGACCTTGACCTGAACTTCACCAGAAAGTGACCTAAGCCGTACCTGATAGTCTTATAACCAATACCATTGAGTTGGAAATGAAAAATTGGCCATAAAACATGCATCACACAACCCTAGTAAAGTTGGGCTCATGTGACCTGACCTGTGACCCTTGGTGACCTGACCTGTGACCTGACCTGGTATTGTCAGTGACCTCTAATAGTAATATATCTACTAGGCAACTGACGCCCTATCGCTGATTCTCGACAAAATGCGTTTTCCTCGGTGTTATAGCGCATTCCCTAGAAGACCCGTGAACGGTGAAACATTTCATCTTTGACCTGACCTGTGACGTCATCGGTGACCCCGAGGTCAATGAAATTTGGTTTTCCTCGACAAATTTGACAGGCCTTTCGAACGCCGTTTGAATTTTGCGGATCCGTCCAGTACTTTCTGAGATACGAGGGGGGGCAAAAAATAGCCCCCCCCCCACCAGGTCGCGTTATAAACAGACCCCACCAGGGCGCGGGCTAAGCTCTACGACCTTCCGTTTCGAAACGCCAGGGGGGGGGTCGTAACAACCCCCCCCCCCTGGTCGTTCGTGTTATGAGAAATGGCCTGGTCGTGCGAGGGTTAATACTGCAAAGGCCAGTATCGTGGGTATCATATCGTGGGCCAGTATCGTGAGATCAGTGTCGTAGGTCAGGCACGGGGTGCAAATTGGGTAAGCTCACTCGCACCGTAGCCTGACAGTCAGTGCTTACAGAGTTCAGTGCCCACTGTCCACGATATAAGGGGCAGAATCTGTCCCCCTTACCAGCATAGGACCTTCGGCTGAATACCTCAGCAGAGCGCAGGTTAGCTGTTCGTTGACGGCCAGATACCTTTATCTTCTACAAGCTAATTTCTTCTGCATCGTACTGCCAGGCTTAAAATATTTGTTTTCTTTAAGAGAAAAGTGCAAATACTCATATGGAAATTGGCCCATAAATCACAAAGCCACATTTATGTAGGTCTCAGCTTTAGTTACCGTCCCTAAATCATACTCATAAATACAGCGAGGGCACTGGAATCGCATAAAAGCTTGAAATAGGAACGCGTAATCGGGGAATGCCGTTTGTCATGGGGAACGATTAAAGGGTCATATCGTTTAGTAATGTTTCGTAATTGCATAGAAAACCCTACTCATTACTGCTTGTTTATTGATCGCTCCTTGACTCCCACAGCACGGCATGCATCATAAGTTAATGTGGATCTTTTATGGGCCATATGTAACAATGTGCTACATGGTGTGCTAAGCCATACCGGTTGTTTGTAGGACATAATGAGGGTCACTGGTTGTAAACATAAGGTCTACTTTTAAGCGTGAACAAACGATTCGTTATTTGTGTTTGTTATTTCCCAATAATCATAAAGCGTACATGCATATTGCAGGGAACAGTAAGGACCAGCAAAAGCTCAGCTGCTGGCAAAGGTTCAAGAAGGCAATATTTTCGAAAGCAACAAGAAAGGTAACGTATGTGGAGGCACTTCGCGGTTGAGGCAGCTGTGCAATATCATGAACGCCAGCTTCATGCTACTTTTCGCTTTAATGTTGTTCTTAATTGGTCCGCGGTAGTCCCAAGCTATAGCGACACACTTTACATAAATTCATAGCGTCTGTCTGTCCAGAATGAAATAACTACTGTCTACCGCTTATTTCATTGTCTGGTGCAATGCGGCTGAAATCCGTCACATTGCGTCGTCATTTCAGCTGCTATGCGGCATTGTCGTGGCGGCGCTGGTTACCATCTCGTGGGTGGGGACCAACCACTTCATCAAGATGACCTACTACGGCGGTCAGATGCCGCAGCTGCCCAACACCACCAACAGCATCCTCGAGGTCCTGCATCAGGTCAGTTAGCGGCAGGTGGACGCAGTCTTCGTGTGTTTCTCCCCAGTCCCCACACGATCAACAAGCTTTAACAAGGGCCTGGGCGCCAGCATGGCACATAACACAACCACGCTCCATTGTGAAACGTTCCAGCCACCATGCATTATTCCCGCAGTCAGGCCAAAAACGTTTGTATCGGTGTCGGCAGGAAGATGATATCCAAGCCGACACCGTTGCTCATACGTTCGTGTGCATAAGCACTTTTCAGCCATTTGATCTCCAGAAAACCTGCTTGGAGATGCAGGCCTCGAGACAAACTGATACCAATCTCCAGACGGACATCGGGGTGCGCTTTTGCGTAGACGTGCGCCATTGATCATGCATGTATGCACGGAGACGTAATGCCTCGATCTCGCCGCTGGCAAACGAGGGTAACCGCAGGTTGTTTGAAAAGACAAACACTATTCGTTAGAATTGTGTTTTTCTATTGAAAAACAACCGGAGCGGTCCTTCTCCGGGCTATGTTTGCAAAGTTGGCCTGAGATTGGGGCAACTTGGTCGCAGCCTAGAGTTTTGCGTTTAGGATCGTAAAAATTTCAGGGTATAGACTTTTGCAGGTGATCTACCTGATGGTACCGTATTGTATGCAGATGGTGACCGAGGAAGATTGAGCGTGGTCAGAAGAAATGCACTTCAGACAGGGGAGCCGCTTTTTTTGCGAATAAGAGAGGAATCAAGTGCTCATCTCGAGATTGTAAAATGTTCGTGTACGAGTAGATATACGAGTATGATGGCTCATATGCAGCTTATTGCAGCACGCACCCATGCGTTATAAACGCATTAACGCTGTTTACCTTTTTTTTTGCGCCAGAACAAATGATATACATTTGTTTGACGTTTGTAACGATGTTGTCTTAAGGTCATAAACTTAAAAGAAATAGCAAATGACATTTGCAATGCCTCATGAATGAAACTGCACTAAGAAGGCAACAACATGTGCTAAAGGAATTGATTTTTTTCTTTTTATGATCTTTATGTTGCAATCAGTTTTAAATGTAGCACATGCTAATTCTAAATCCATCCACTTATTATATTGCACACAACTGCACGATACCAGATACCTGCACCTATCCACGACAGTAGATCGTGCGTATCCCACCACCCTACTGACCATTCTACCGCTCTGCCCTGTTCCAGGGAGCGCCGTACGACGCGCCGTTCTTCACCACGTGGTTCTGCACCACTTGGACCACCCTGGTCTTCCCCATCTTCTCCCTGCTGCAGTGTATCAACTGCAGGGCCAAGGAGGAGCCGGCAGCCAGCGAGGTGGTCGACGCCATCAGATACTTCCGCGACCGCGGATACACGCTCGGTAAGAAATAGGGATGACTGGTGCCAAGCATCGGCAAATATACTTACTATATACTCGTATACTCGTAAATGTAAGATGCAAGAAGATAGCCCTGGCCAGCAAAAAAAGCAATACTTCGAGGCAGCCCCAGCAAAGATAAAATGCCTTATTTCCGCTCATCCATTCTATGTATTTCTTCTTGGCTTACAGAAGGTGAAAAGCTCATGGACTCTCACAACTGGTGGATCGATACAAACTATAGGACTTCACAAAAATCTTGAATTGACATCGATATTAATATTGCACTGCCCATTTTTAAGGCTGATTTCATTCCACATGCGCTACTCTCACCGTTCCAGGTCAGTTCATGTTACGCACCTTCCTGTTCTGTCTGCTGTGGGTCGTCACCAACTATCTGCACGCGCAGGCTCTGCGAGAGCTGACCTGTACAGACGCCATCGCGCTCTTCTCGACCAGTCTGGGTTTCGTGTACCTGCTCTCGTGGGTGGTGCTACACGAGCAGTTTGTCGGAGTCCGGGTGAGTGTAACAGACCTTGTTAGGTTTGGTCTCAGGTCGAGGTGACCCGGATTCTGCGCAGCGCAAGGAAACATGCTGACGGCGGCATGTGATTGTTTATTTTCCCTCCCGAACTGCTACGCTGACTGCCGCCGGTGGGGAACAAACACTGCCATTCTAAGCAGGGTAAACGAACAACTCAGACATGGGACCCTGGCTCGAGCAAGTGTGAACTGCTGACGCCCGTACAGACGTTGACACGTTACTTATTCATGTCATGGGAAAGATCAATGGTCATATGAGCTGACGAGTTATAAATGGTGTCCATATGACATTTGCAGACGGGACAGTCCGAGCTACTGGCAGGCCAATAAATCAGTTGAAGTGGGTTTCATTGAAGCCAGACTGTTGCTTTGGCATAAGGTATTCAATTTGATAGGATAATAATTTTCTTACGTGAGATATAAAGCAGAAGCTCTGATCTCGGAATATTCGCGGAGCTGAACCGTGGTGCATCCCCTGTCTTTTGTCAGATCGTAGCTGTGATCATGTGTAACACCGGGGTGGCACTGCTCGCCTATATGGACGGTATCGCCAAGACGCCCACCCTGGGTAGCGTCGTCATGGGAGCCACGGGCGCCGCCGGTTCAGCGGCGTACAAGGTCAGTAGCCACGAACACCAGTGCGGCGACACATCACTAACGAATTTAGCTCCGAAAATGGCCGTCTCAGATCTGATTGCCTGGATCCCGCTCGCGTTTTTTTTTTCCCGCTTGTGAGCTGCCTGCCTCCCCGCAGCACACCTTTAGCCGGCCGGGTTGGTAGCTGCAGCAGAGGTAATTCAGTTCCGGGCAATATCCCAGCCAGGGCTCACCGGGTCCAGGGATCTCCATTCTCCCGGGACGCCTATCCCGGTCGGCCAGCCTGGCAGAGCTCACCCAGCCGCAAATGCAGCGGCGACGGTCCCTAAATCGACCAGATCCTATAATCTCCCGTGAGCGGCCAGAGCCGCAAAGTCCCCTGCTCTGAAATAGAGCTCCTAAATCCTCATCAACTTGAGCGGTTTCTAAAACGTATAGTCCCAGGCATCGCCCGTGGCTCAAGTGTGCTGAAGCTGTGACTTTTGCTCGTCTGCAGGCCCTTTTCACTGGTAGATCCAGCCGCTTCCCCGAAGTGCCCCAAATCGATGAAAATTAACCGTTTGTGTAGAATAGAAATAAAACCAAGCAACTTTCATAAGATAAAGTTTCGTTTGACTCAACGAATTGAGACCCAAGGACTTCTTGGAATCACTCTTTTTTTAGGGGGGAGGGGAGGCCTTTTCGCAGCGTCCAAGTCCTCCTTTTTTTTTTATCCGACAATGCCCTCTTCAGCCGACACTCTGTTCTCTTCCCGGGTGGCAGAGTGCGGAGGGAACCTCGTCGGTAGGCCAGTCCAATGAACTAACGAGAGGCGCTGCCGCCCGTAATGTCCTTAATGAGATACGTAGAGATTTAGTAATGAGACCCATTTGTATGCTGCTGCTCCCGGCGGTGAATGCAGTAGCGCAAACCCTGATATCTATTTTTTTTTTTGAATTACATTTGATTAAGAGCTGCATTTATTCAAGACAGTCACCTCAAACTATGCAACACTTTATCGATCCCTACATTATGCTTATCATTTCTTAGAAATAAACGCTTAATAATTCGGAAATACGCCGGTGAAAAATGATATTCGTTTTAATTATTCCCGCGATGCTTTGTTTCTGTTTCTTCAGATCTGTTTTCTGCCTCTTCAGCTCTGCATCTTCACTTCGTGTCTCTTCTGCTCCGTTTCTACGTCTTTCTACTTTCATTTTATCCCGTCTCCCCAGCCAGCCACCTCCACCGACCAGTGCTTATCTCGTGACTGGCCTCATTCCGCCACTCCCGGGCAGGTGTTCTTCCGTAAGGTGATGGCCGACTGCGGGCCCGGTCCGGTGAGCGTCTTCCTGAGCCTGATTGCCCTCATCAGCACACTGCTGCTGTGGCCAGTGGCGCTGGCGCTCTCACTCTCCGGGACAGAGGTTGTCACCTGGACCCAGCTGCCCTGGCTGGAGCTGTGTGGCGCAGCGGGACTCGGGCTAGGTGAGAATGGGGGGTGAGAGAGAGAGAGAGAGAGAGAGAGAGAGAGAGAGAGAGAGGGGGGGAGAGAGAGAGAGGGAGAGAGGTGGTGAGAGGGAGGGGTGATGAGACGGTAAGATGGATTCGTTTAGAAAAACGGAAAGCGGTGAGATGGTGTGGCTAACTAGGTGAGATAAAGGGGAGCGGTCAGCTGTGTATTGGTGATTGGTGAGCTAATATGGCGGTAGGCGGTTTTGACTTAAACTGGTGTGCATTTAAAATCAATAGCGACACGGCCAATCGGCGCATGGCAAATAGAAGAAAAGTATTTGAAATGAATTTTAAAATTAATTTTAAGCAATCCATGTAACGTCTTTTACTTTTTAACCCGTCGCCTTTTCAGACCCATGCAGGGCATTAATAAAATACCTTGACCTATGGCTAACTTGATGAACGGTGCCTTGATGGCTGTCCGTCCCAAATGGCCTCTAACGACCGACTCGGTTACATCGGGAGGCAAATGTCCACTGTAAATGTCCAGAGGGCGGGGACCGCTAGTCACGGAATAGGGATTGCCAACAATAAATGTCGGTGATTCTCGAGGAAAAATGGCAGAGATTCCCTAGTAAGTGCATACGGCGAAGATTCGCAGAGATCAATAATGACCTTTTTCCCAACAGCAACCGCAGCTTTTTAAGGGCCCGTTTTCCTAACCATAGAAAACCTGAGAGATCTTTTCAATACTAAAGCATTCATGAGAGCTGAACGAAAAGGCTGCCTAACTTGTGTCGCGTGAGCGCTGATAATGACCCTGTCATGGGACGTCACCAGCTGGGGTCAGACCAGCTTACCGTGAAGTGCACAGAGCGTGACCAGCTCACGTGCCTCAGTAACGACCTACTTCCGGCGGAAGTGAGCCTACTCAGACAGAGGTGCTAACCCGCCCGACAGGAGGTGTTGGATTGGGCGTCAAGAGTTTTATTACCGGATTTTATGGAATGAGTGTTGATGGAAACTGCCTGGCATCTTGCTTTTGCTCCGCTCCGTTGCGGACTTTATATTGGTCCAGGACTCCAGAGTCCCGACCTAGATAGTTAAATTGCAAGCGATTTTATAGAAGATTTAACGGCATAAATAAATAAAAACTCATGTCTTGCTTTAGTAGGACGGACCATATTAAACCTATACGCAACCGGAAACCCAATGCCTGATGTGGAAAGATATAATCATGTACAATATCCCTGCCTCAACGTATATCACTATGTGTTTTCAGCGGGAAACCTTCTGATCAGCTTCGGCGGCCTGGTGACCTACGACTTCTTCGTCAGTCTTGGTCTGATCCTCGCCGTGCCCCTCAGCGCCGGTAAGACTGCTTTAACTTATTCTGATATCATCACCGAACATCTGTCTGTTTATATGTAAATGTCACTAGGTACATTTCAGTGGCTCGCTACTCGGGCGCCACCGAGGCAGTGTCCTCATAAACGTTTGATCGGACCGTATCTGTTTATAGAATGTGTAACGTGTGAGTTTGGACCAGCCTCCAGGCCAGTGATTGTGGCCATATTGAAATCAGCACAACTTTGACCGAAAGGTCCCCGGTTCTTGGCACTGATTGTGCAACTCTCGCCCCTGAGAAAAACCCACCGACAGCAGCCAATAGATATTTGAGCCGGACGCGCGAGTGGTTCTGGCATGTCAAATGGTGGTACCGCCCATCAAACATGAGCACATGGTGGCGTCATCAGTCCCGAGAACTGAGCACATGATCTCAGTCTCTCCGTCTCAGTCTTATCACCTAGTGTGCACTCATGTTTGACGGGTAGGTCATGCTGTATGATGTCGCAAGCCGTTTACGAAGGAGCCGTCGTCAGGGATATGCACTCACAGATGACAGGGTTAAAAGAGGAATGCGATTTTGCACGGCGGTGATCACAATTTATTGTCATAGACTGAACACATCAGCAAAGGCGAACGATGATTGATGCATGAAGACGCTGCTAGTCATTGAAAATGAGACATTGTAATTCACGGCCGTCATGGTAATGACCTCAATATGACGGCATGACTAGTGGACAACGCCTAAGAACAAAAAGACTTCCATTCCTGGAAAAAGCAAAGAATGCAACAGGTTACAGGACCTCAGTGGCATCAAACTGAATGGAATGCATAGGTATAACTGGCTGTTAACAATGTTCTGTATACCAATTCCAGCTTGCAACTTCGCGCAATGTTCAATTGCTTCTCAGCATACACAGTTGATAGTTGTTGATACTTGATAATGCCAAAGTGCTTCGTGCGATCATAAGACGTCATGTAAAAGGCCACCCTGAACCACCACAAGGCAGCTGAGTAATGCCAAAATGAATACAGTAAAGCCCTTGCCCCACGTTGTTGGTGATACGGTCAGGGTCACGGGAGCCCCGACAGCGGCACCGCGGACGGATCGACGGTAGGCCGCGGCCTCTCCGTCACCGGCAGCAGCACCATCGCCTTGGCCAGCGCCTGCATGGCTGCGGGCGTCTCCTTGGCCCGCAGCAGCACGTAGGCCCTCTGCAGGTACTGGCGTGCCAGCTGCACCTGACCTGACCTCAGGCCGCCGCCCGGCAGCGGGTCCGGTCCCAGCAGCTCGACGCAGTCGTGCTCGTCCGAACCGTCGGCGCAGTCGTCGATTCCGTTACAGCGCGCGGCGGCCACGAGGCAGCGGCCGTCGCCGCAGATGACGTGGTCGTCACCGCAGGTGCCGGCGGTGCCGCAGGCCGCCTCGTCGCTGCCGTCACGGCAGTCAGTGACGTTGTCGCACACCCAGGCGGGTCTGACACAGCGGCCGAAGTCGCAGCTGAAGTGGGTGCCGCACGTCTCCAGGGTGCCGCAGTCGGCCTCGTCTGAGCCGTCTGCGCAGTCCTTCTCGCCATCACACACCCACAGCCGCATGATACAGTCGATCGGTTCATCGGAGCCGCTGGAGCAGTGGAATTGGTCGACAGGACACGCGGGCGGTGCGCCGCAACCGCGCTCATCCGAGTTGTCACCACAGTCGTCCTGGCCATCACATAGCCACCGAGCCGGCACGCACCGGCCACTGTCGCAGCGGAACTGCGAGGCCAGCGTGCAGTTACCACAGCCGACTTCGTCCGATCCATCGCCGCACTCGTCGTCTCCGTTACAGCGCTGCTCGGCCGTCAGACAGCGTCCATCGGCACAGCGGAACTCGTGCTGTCGGCAGCCGGTGTCGGGGCAGTTGGCCTCATCGCGCGCGTCGGCACACTCCGGCCGACCATCGCATCGGCTGGTGATCAGGATGCACCGGTCGCCACACGAGAACTGGTCGTCGTTGCAGGTAACGTTGCACGCCAGTTCGTCGGAGCCATCGTCACAGTCTTTGGTACCGTCGCAGAGCTTCTGGCGGGACACGCAGCTGCCACTGGAGCAGCGAAACTCGGTGTCTGTACACGAGGTGCAGTTGAGCTCGTCACGTCCGTCGTGACAGTCCAGAGCGCCGTCGCAGCGTGCCGAGAGCGCGATGCACTCGGCACCGCCGCAGGAGAACTGCTGTTCTGAGCAGGCGGCCGTGCAGTTGCGCTCGTCGGAACCGTCCCCACAATCGTCGATGCCGTCACAGACAGAACGTCGTGTTCGCAGGCATTCGCCGTTGTCGCACAGGAACTGGGTAACGGCCGTGCAGTTGCTGCAGCCGAGCTCATCTGAGCCGTCACCGCAGTCGTCATCGCCGTCACAGACCCAGCGAATGGCGGCCAGACACAGACCGCTGGCACAGCGGAATTGATTCTCCTCACATCCACTCTCCTCGCAGCCGAGCTCGTCTGAGCCGTCGCCGCAGTCATCCTCGCCGTCGCAGACCCTAGACTGACGAAGACACTTGCCGTTGGGACAGGTGAACTCTGTCAGCACGCACGTCGGCACAGACGTCGTCGTCGTCGTCGTGGAAACGTCGCACTCGGCCTCATCAGAACCATCCTCACAGTCCTCCTCACCATCGCAGCGCCACCAGTCTGGGATGCACCTGCCGTTGTTGCAGGTGAACATGTACTTACCTGACGCGCAAGGTGAGCCCGAAGACGTGGAGGCATCGCAGCCAGTTTCGTCAGCATCATCGCCACAGTCATCTTCGCCGTCACAGCGCTTCGAGCCGGCGATGCACTTTCCGTTGGCACAGGAGAACTGACCTGACTTGCATGACGGGGCGGACGTCGTCGTCGGGATGTCACAGCCAACCTCGTCTGACCCGTCACCACAGTCTTCTTCACCGTCACAGCGCCAGCGACTCCTAATGCAGCGCTCCGATTCCACACACTGGAAATGGTCGGGTGGGCATGTCACGGCAGTTGAACAGTCCATTTCATCACTACCGTCGAGACAGTCCTTCTCGCCGTCACATCGCCAGGAGTCGGACAGGCAGCGACCACCGTCAGCACATCTAATCCGGCCCGGTCCGCACGTGGACGGGTCGCAGCCAACCTCGTCTGACCCGTCACCACAGTCTTCTTGACCGTCACAGCGCCAGCGACTCCTAATGCAGCGCTCTGATTCCACACACTGGAAATGGTCGGGTGGGCATGTCACGGCAGTTGAACAGTCCATTTCATCACTGCCGTCGAGACAGTCCTTCTCGCCGTCACATCGCCAGGAGTCGGACAGGCAGCGGCCACTGTCAGCACATCTAATCCGGCCCGGTCCGCACGTGGACGGGTCGCAGCCGGCCTCGTCGGCACCGTCGCCACAATCGTCGTCACCGTCGCAGACCCAGGACGGGCGAAGACACTTGCCGTTGGGGCAGGTGAACTTGCCGTTGACGCAGTCTGTCTCGCCACATTTGGTCTCGTCTGAGCCGTCCGGGCAGTCTGAAAAGCCGTTGCAGAGTGCCGTCTTGGGCAGGCATGGGCCACCGTGCGGACACTCGTGCTCAGAGTCGGAGCAACGCTTGGCACGTGTGCTGCTGGCCAGCGCCAGCGTCACCAGCAGCCCCAGAGCCAGCGCCGCGACGCGTCGCGCCATGGTGCCCCGCGCGGCCCGACTGAGCCGCCGGTCGACGGCCACGCGCGCCCCGAACCCCGTTCATATACATACAGCACACCCCAAGGCCGGCGGCCAGCAGAAGACGGCGTCAGTCGACACCAGCGAGATGCAAATTATGTCTCCCGGGAGCGGTGGTCGGCACGACGGCCGTCTTGGGAGCCTGGTCCGAGCGTTGATGTGCGCCGACCCAGCCGCGAAGGCAGGCATGCGGTGATCAATGCCCTGACTATTCCGGACTGCGGGTGGTCAGGCAGCGTTCCTGTCCATCTCAGCGGGCTGACGGAATGCCAAGAAGCGAGGAGTGTTTGCCTCGGAGCTTGGAACCATTTGTTTTTGTTTGTGACAGTTTCTACCCGAAGTTCGTGCGTCCGACAAAAACATTACGCATTCCATCCCTCGACATTCGATTCATTCATTTCGAGCATTCCATCCATTTCGTAAACGATCATGCTAATTGAATGTGAGAAGGTAGCATCGACTCAGAGCTGTTGCTAAGCAGGACAGGAATTCGGGAATGGTTCCAAACTTGATCGCTACAAAAGGAAAGTCAAAGTAAAAGTCAAATATACCTAACCGTCTGAACCATGCTATACCTGCCTGCTATATAGCCTGCTACACCTGTCTGCTATATCTGCTACAGTGTGCGTCATGGATCATTGATCAATAACGTTGTAATCAACCTCGGTATAGCGTGACCCATAAGTACACATAATTCGGCATGTATACTACATGTTTCACATCCAATGAATACCGTATATGCAGCTTCAGTAAGTATTTAGGAAGCTTGTGTTCCAGGACGATAGTTGATGTGATGAGAAAATTGTGTCCGAAATGCCAGGCATGATAAATACCCAAGAAGACAGGAAACGAGCCTTATTGGGAAACTATTATGTAAATTTTATCATTTTGTAATTGATGGTAACTGGGTAGTTACTCTAACGCACATTAATTGCAACATTCATTGATAATATCTCTCTCTCTCTCTCTCTCTCTCTCTCTCTCTCTCTCTCTCTCTCTCTCTCTCTCTCTCTCTCTCTCTCTCTCTCTCTCTCTCTCTCTTCCCCTTCTCTCTCTATGTCCCCCCTCTCTCTCTTTCTCTGTCTCTGTCTCTCTCTGTCTCTGTCTCTCTGTCTGTCTCTGTCTCTGTCTCTGTTTCTCTCTCTCTCTCTCTCTCTCTCTCTCTCTCTCTCTCTCTCTCTCTCTTTCTCTTTCTCTTTCTCTGAATAATTTCATTTTTGCCTGTTTCCAGCGATCGACATGCAGTGGTACAATGTCGACTTTGAGGACATGCGTCTGGCTGGGAACGTGCTAATCGTCTGTGGCTTTTTCCTGGTCCTGTTCCCAAGCAACTGGCCTAACTACATTCGCAGCGTCATCAGGTAAGGAGGACAATCAGGCTATTGGACAAAACGTCTCTATTTAAAATTCACTTTTCTGTGAAAGGACGTGTCGATTGTAATATTACCTACTGTATTTCGTTCAAAACAAGGGCAACTATTCATATGGCGCAAGGCCGACAAAATAAATACCTCCTCTGAGATTATTGTAAATGATAAGTTCTTGTTGAAGATAAGAGTGCATTAGTAATTATTCATTTGTGTGTACTCTTTACCGTGGAAGTGCTTTTCAGCTATCGTCTAATGTATGAAGCATCTGTTTAAATTGTGTGCTATTGTGTTTGTCATTGCGTTTATAACGTATCTTGAACGTGAGATGTGTATTGCTTAATGCGGCCCACGTGTGCATTCCATCAGTGTCTCACCATGCGTATTTGAAAGTGATGTGTGCCTGTGCTAGTCTCATTTTTGTGTTTGTTCACGCCGTCAGGTGGGGCCGGCGCCACCACAGCGGCAGCTCTCGGGACCAGCCGGAGCCGGTGGACTACCGTACGGGCATCATCTCCAGGTCACATCTGCGGTCACCCTCCGGGCATGTGCGGTGAACCGTGATCACGTGCGGTGAAGTTCGGGCAAGTGCGGTGAAGTTCGGGCAAGTGCGGTAAGCTAGGGATAAACACGGGAAGTCCAGAAATCTGCGCTTTCCTTCATGAAATGCGCGGTGATTGCGGACAACGGTTGAAAATTCAAGGCGAAGTGTGGTCAATTCCAGGCGTCGGTGAACTCCGAACAGGTACGGTGGCCTGTGATGAGTGTAATGATCTGTGGACACTTACGATTACAGTGAGCGGATGACACGGACGCAAAAGAAAAAGTGACTAATGTGCAGTGAGCTTTCTATTCCTCGATCTTTTTGACACACCTGTTGCTTTTTTCGTTAGCCGAACTGACAAATGATTGAGAAACAATTTTAGATTAAAAACATAAACCATAAATGCGTTCGATTTGAGCATTCGATTTGAGCTCTGCACAGATAATGAATTTTGAGCCCTCGCTCTGAACTCTCAGGTGTGGGTGTAAGCTCCAGATAAAACTGGGATCGTATCGCCCCGTTCCTTCATATACGAGGCGGCCCACCTCAGCCGAGCGTACTTTGAACCGGGATGTGACGGGGCGAGTCATGTGACCAACAATAGCTCCCCGTGACTGTGACGTGAGGTGGTCGTGACTGTAACGTTCCGTGACTGTGACTGTACCGTGCCGTAACCGACACCGATCGCCGGAGAGCTCGTAAAACAGAGGTGTTTCGCGTTACTCGACCTACCGCACACGGATGTTGCGAGAACTGAAGTTAGTTTTCTACTGGGCGCTCTAAGCGACTTGTGTAGTAGCTACTGAACAGTGAGCGTGACTCGAGTTGGTGGGATATGTGATATGTGGTAAGTGTTACGTGGTGGTATGGACGACTCTTCAACTGATGGTGTTTATTGGATCAATATGTTTCTTGTTACATGTGATTGTTGTACGACAAAGTGTCTGTTTACAGGCCTCCAGAAGCAAACAGGGTCTGTGTACATAAGGTAGAGTAGGGTCTATGTATAAAGGCAAATCTTGTCGTACAATGTTAATTTTACATATCAACGGCAGGCATTTACCAACTGCATATATCCTGTTCATATATACGTTCAGATAGCTACAGCTAAAGGTTATTGCATCCCGTGTCCAAAGGTCAAGGGACTCCTTTCTCATGTCACTAAAATGCAAGAAACTGCTGCTTCCTCCATAGCTTTCCCATGTGGTGTTCGTGCAAGCTACGTATGAACACACATCTTCTAGGTAAGGGTTGTAGCCGATATTATTGATAATTGACTGTAGTTAAATGCCGTGCTTTTATTGAAAAATAATAAGATTAATTGCTTGAACTAGGCAATAGCTCTGCTGGGATCATTTTAGCTCATCTTGAGATATTCATGGCGAGTGTTTGACAATATTTATATACCTACTTCTGTATTACATACCTACATCGTTCATTTCTTCTCACAATGTGTCACTACGAACATCGATATGTTGAACGACTGTTGCGATTGTAGGAGAAGAATATACGTTACAATAAATGTAAAATGGCTTTCTTTATTCTCTGATCAGATGTGACCGAGTTCATCCTACAACTTGAATGTTTCGTCGCTGAGGCACAGGCGTCGCTGTAACCTAACCGCTAGAGTGCGCTGCAGGTCGAGTTGATTTGAGGAAAATGGCTATGGAATAAACAGTTCTTGCGCCGAGGTCAATGCAGTGCACGTTGTAGTCAGACACACTGTAATCTAAATCGGCGCTAGATACTTTGTAAAAAATTGTATTGTAATAACTGTAACCAGATCAATTGCAAAAAAAAAAATCAGAGCCAGGTCATTCAAGTCAGGTCAACAGTCCACGTTTGTTGACTTCGTCTCAAGAAGGAAGTCTTTACTCGCCATGGCTACACCGACTCATGGTTTTGAGCCTGTGCTTGCTGACCAGATATTTGGAACGTATGTCTGGGCTTTGTTTATATCGGTGACCTAGCTTCGGGTCAACTTTGCAGTTTGCGATATCTACTTACTTATGTACTACTTGCGATATGTACCTACTTCCAAAGTGGACGGGGAAAAATTGAACAGTACCTACTTAGGTAAATCGAACTCCTAATAGGTCTCTTTATTTCGGGTCATATTTAACACCAAAATGTCATTGATCGGATTAATTTGTTTTTTTTCCGTACCCTGTCCCGTGGCCGTAGCTCAGTTGGTAAAGCATTGGACTCCCGGTAGTGAGAGCCCGGGTTCGAGACGCTCGGCGCTCGACATTTGAGACTCCTGACCAGGATGATCTGCGTTTGGTGGGAGCAGCCGCAGCAAGTTGAAGTCAGTTGAGTGGGACAGGCCGTGTCCGGCTTTGAACAGCACGTTAAACTTTGGCTTCCAAATCCTCCCGTTACCCGGAATGGCGCGATCGGACGGTATGGGGTCGGGGTCTACGCAACAAGCTCTGCTTAGCGTTGGCTCCGGCTCTGTCAATCCATCCATTAAAACATTCGAACTAAATTTATAAAAAGAAAATATCCAACAACAGCTTGAATAATTAAAATCTTGGCTCCAACTAACCCGCGCCCCGTAGGGCTACCGGCGGACCCTACCACCCGTAGGGGGGGGGGGGGGGCGTTTCGCCCCCCCCCCCAAGATCTCGGAAAGTTACCGGCCGATTTTCAAAATTCAAACGGTGTTCGATAGCCCCACTCTGGAACTACCTTGTGACCCAATTTCATTGACCTAGGTCAAACTGATGACGTCACAGGTCAGGTCAAAGGTCAGATTTTCACCGTTCACAGGCATTTCAAGAAATGTGTTGTGAAATCGAGTAAATTGGTAATTTATTGAAAGCCATCGATGGTACATTGTTCGTCAAACACATACTTTGCTATCTGAGGTCACTGATACCAGGTCAGGTCACAGCGAGGTCAGGTCACCGGGGGTCAATATGAAAGTGTCGTGTGATGCATGTTTTATGGTCCATTTTGCATGACAAATGCGATTATGTGGGTTAGGCAGCCTTTGGGGCCAGCCTAGGTCATGTTTTGGTGAAGGTCAGGTCAAGGTCAGGTCAAATTAGGTCAAATTTCAAAGTTGATATTTTTGCATAAAATGGGTATCAATTCGATGCAGCTCGTCACGGGGAGCCTAATGGTGGTCTTTGTTTTGCTCTACGAGGTCTAGAATTGCCCAAAATTGAGTTTGAAAATTTGACGTCATCATTTTTGAACAGTTTTTCGCTATGACTTGGCCAAAAACGAGGTATCGATCTGAAATCTGGTATGCAGACAGAAGACGGTAGGTACTATCACATACATTCCGTTTTTTTTTCGAAACTCAAAAACTTTTTGAATTTTTTGGCTAACATATAAGAAAAATGCTTTTTTATTTTTGGGGCTAAAAAGTCAAAAAATTTAAAAAATCCGAGATTGCAGTTTTGTAGCCCTGTCAATTCTACACCTTTTATGTCTTGATCATTTTTCTGTATCTTCAAAGCTGTAGGCCTGACAGGTCTTCTCGCGAAGGTCTTTTTTTCGGTCGAAAATGACAGAACATGACGTCATTCTGACGTCATTTGTGTCCAACCTATCATAGCCTCTGGAAAATTTTGGTCATAATGTGTAAAATTGACGCCCGGAGGGGTCCTGAAAGTTTTGGTGGCGATATCTCCAGCCGTTTAGGAGATATCGACCGAAAAGGACAGGGGGGGGGGGGCCGTTTCGCCCCCCCCCCCTACGGGGCGTGACTATCCTTAACCCGGCAGGTGGTGTGCCTTGGGTGTGCCTACCAGCCACCTTCCGCGCGGTGGGGGGGGGCATTTTTTTGCCCCCCCCCCCCCGTATCTCCGAAACTACTGGACGGATCCGGAAAATTCAAACGGCGTTCGATAGCCCTGTCAAATTTGTCGAGGAGAATCAAATTTCATTGACCTCGGGTCACCGATGACGTCACAGGTCAGATCAAAGATAAAATGTTTCACCGTTCACGGGGCTTCTAGGGAAAGCTCTATAACACCGAGTAAAACGCATTTTGCCGAAAATCAGCGATAAGGCGTCAGTTGTCTAGTATATATGTTGCTATTAGAGGTCACTGGTCATACCAGGTCAGGTCACAGGTCAGGTCACCAAAGGTCACCAAGGGTCACCACATGAGCCCAACTTTACTAAGGTTATGTGATGCATGTTTTATGGCCAGTTTTTCATTTCCAACTCAATGGTGTTGGTTATAAGACCATCAGGTACGGTTGAGGTCACTTTCTGGTGGAGGTCAGGTCAGGTCAAAAAAGGTCAAATTTCAAAATTGATATTTTTGCATAAAATGGGTATCGATTCGATGCAGCTCGTCACGGGGAGTCTAATGGTGGTCTTTGGTTTGCGCTACGAGGTCTGAAATTGCTAAAAATTGAGTTTGAAAATTTGACGTCATCAATTTTGAACAGTTTTTTCGCTATAATTTAGCCATAAAAAGAGGTATCGATCTCAAATTTGGTATGTAGATAGAAAGCGGTAGGGACTATCATATATATTCCGTTTTTTTTCGAAATTCAAAACTTTTTGGATTTTTTGGCCATTATATTAAAAAAAACTATTTTTAATTTTTGGGGTCAAAATCCAAAAAATTCGAAAAACCGAAATAGCAGTTTTGTAGCCCTTCTAATTCCACACCTTTTATGTAAAAAAACGTTTTTCTGTATCTCTAAAGCTGTAGGCCTGACAGCTCTTCCCGCGAAACCTTTTTTTGGTCGAAAATGGCAAAAATGACGTCACTCTGACGTCATTAGCGGCCGACCTATCATAGCCTTTGGAAAAATGTTTGGTCACCATGTGCGCTAGCTGCTCCCGGGAGGGTATTGAAAGTTTGGTGACGATCGGCGCAGCGGTTCTCGAGATATATCGAAAAAACTAAAGGGGGGCAAAAAATGCCCCCTCCCCCACCGCCTGGAAGGTTAACCTGAAGTTATTTTAGGTCAGAAAAGGTCATCAGCAATTTCTTCAGCGGCAATATTTGACAAAAAAAAAACACGTGACAGTAGTAAAATATCCTGTACGTAGTACATCGCCACTGCCCAGCTCAACTACACAGATAGACATGACCTTTTCCGGTCAAATCATGAATTTGGATGAGGATCAAAATTTCAAGTCGTCTTGCAGTCATCAAATAATCGGTTTTTCGACGCGCTTCCACGATAAAAGCATGATGCTGGTATAATTGATGACGTGCATCCTTTTTATCAAAGCTATTGGATAAGAAAAAGTTCCAAACATTGTCGGAAAGGTGAAACATATGGGGATTAGCAGTTGACTTAAGTTTAAATCAGAGACTAATTTTGCGAGGGAGAGTTGAAAGAATAATCGTGCGTTTTTACCAGATAGTCTAGCTCCATTGCTCCAGGTTCATCTCTCACGGGACATGGGCCAATTTGGCCAATCTCCAAGAATGTCAAAATGTGACATTTTGTTGTAACAAATGTGAATGTGACATTTTGGTTACCGCTGTTGACCGGACATTTAAAGTAATCAAAAAGATCCACGGTGATCCATCACCATAGTCACGATTTAAAGCTCGGACTGCCTTCGAACGACGCATAGGTACCGCGTTAACCACTGAAGTCCTCCAGGTTTGATAACGTGGCGGATTTGTTGTGATGGCCAGCATAACCCAAAGCATAACCGGCGTTACCGCTGCAACATCTCGCAACCTTGCAACTCCGCTACATCTAGCGACAGCCTGTGACGCAGTCCACGGGCACAGCTCCCCCTCAGGTGTAGCCTACCGTGCAGCTCATAGCCCCGATGGTGATGACAGGCGGTCCAGCCCTTAGCCCAAGCGACGACCGGCGACAGTAGGTACAGCCCTCAGCCCCCTTGGCGGGGGGCTGAGGACGCGACTGGCCGCCCGGAGAGAAAGCAGACGCTCCGCGCCGGCCGTCAAGTTCAAGGCTACCGGCTGACGAGTCCTCTCGAGAATAGAAAGTGCCCGTTGAGACCGCGGACTGACCTGCACGCGGCGTGGGCTGTCGATCTTTGGAGGCCGGAAAAGATCATCGCTACACTGTAACCTATTCGGTGAACGGGGAGAGAGCGCGACGCGCGTGATGCATCCACTCACCGAAACTGACATAAAATTGATTGTTGGAAAGAGTGGCGCACTTAAATTGTGGGAAGAGATATCGAGTAAAAAATAAACAATAATATTGCTTACCAAATCATGTAAGAACGGGACTTTAATTGATTATCTGGGTAGACATGCGATCTAAGGCAGACAAATCATTCTAATAGAAAATTTCACATCTGAGATTTCGCGAGGGTCTTCGCGTAAATGTTCCGCATCGTTTATTCGCTAATGTTCTCATCGTAATTTATGTTCGATCATTCCTTCAACTAAACTTCTCAAATGAAAAATTGTCTTCCCAGCTGGTTCCACCTCTCCCTTCTTTGCGTTGAAAACACTCAAAATATACATACCAACCAATTTTATTCATATATCCCGCTGGAGCGTGAAGGAGTAGCATATATTTCATGCCCATGAACATATGTAAATGAGTTGAAGTCGGTAGGATAGCATTGGTTCCTACGTGAGTGAATAATGAAAAATGAACTCAAATGAGCACCTCGTATTTTTTTTTTAAATAAAATTCATGACTTATTGTGCCCTAAAACGAGCGACATGTCTCCAACGATCCATCATATAATAATTTCTCCGAAATTTGTTTTCCAATGTCTTCGAAAATACACACACATAGGCTCGACTAAGGCACCGTCTGTTTACTAATGTCCGTTGATAATCCTACGGCGCAGTTCTATTAGGTTGTCGTACAGTTCTACAGGACAGCTATGATCTGCCTTGATTGCCCTCTTCTTCCCTCTGTTTTGATGTTGACATGTCACCCTCGGACCTCATTTCGGTCGGCTTCGAACTCGCGAAGTCGCCGTTTATCCCAGCGAGCTCCCGGCCCTGGCTCAGAGCTCAGCTCCCAACCCTAGCTCAAAGCTCAGCCCTGCAGCTTGGCTCGGAGCTCAGCTCCCAGCCCTGGCTCGGAGCTCAGCTCCCCGCCTTGGCTCGGAGCTCAGCCCTACAGTCTGACTCAGAGCTCAGCCCTGCAGCTTGGATAGGAGCTCAGCCCTGCAGCTTGACTCAGAGCTCAGATCCCGGCCCTGACTCAGAGCTCAGCTCCCGGCCCTGGCTCAGAGCTCAGCCCTGCAGCTTGGCTCGGAGCTCGGCCAGCCGGTTAGCCCGCCGCTCCTTCTCGTCACTGTCTCGCTGACGGAAGGCGGCCAGCACCTCCTCAGGGATCGCGTTCTCGCTGAAAAGGAGGCGAAGGATGCATATGTCATGATGGCTGCTGCACACATTTAAAGAGAATAAGCGAAGGCTCTTACTCAATGCTCAAGGGATGATAAACAATAAGCTGAAATTGTACAGAAAGACGGTGCAACTCCCGCGACCTCAAATGAGAATCGCAATTTACATCACTTCCCTTACTCATTTTAATCACAGTTCCAGGCCAAAATTCATCATTGAGACTCAAAATCCTTCTCTATATTCCTTCCGTGTTCTTTTAATCTCCCTTTCCCTGTCTCTCCCTCCTCTCCCCTCCCTCCCTCACCTCTCCACCCTTCCCTCTTCCCCCTCTCCTCCTCTCACTCACCATCCAGGGACCTGCTCGGGCTCGGTGGTGCAGTGCCGTTTGACGGGGTCAAACACAGACGCCTCCGGGCAGCCCTGCAGGCGCGGCGCCACCGTGCCATCCTCCTTGTTGATGCACACGTAGAACTTGGTGCAGTCGCTCGGATGCTGCTCCTTGGTGAACTCGCCCACCTGGTTCTCGGTGAACTCGCGCTGAGGACACTGGAAGCCCAGGTACGCTGCAAGACGTATACACAGAGGTGAGCGCTCAGTAGAGGGTGGGAGAAAAGAAAGGCGCGGAACCTGGTTGCCGGTTAGGGGAATTTCTTAAAAGTGAAGACGTGGGGCAATGAAAATCAGTTTACATTATACCATATCAAAGATTCAAGGTCGTGATGTAAAGTTATAACGATCGGCATTTCATCTATAATATACACCTGTTGACAGCAACATCTAACAGACTATCAAAATTGACAGAAGGTGCAATAGGTGGCGAAGTGTTCGTTTATAAATAGGGTATTACGATCAATAAAAAATGTATTACGATCACTACAAGAGCATGCGTTTGTATTCAATTATTCATGCAAACTAAATCTACATTTATAGCTGCAGAGGAACAAAGTAAAAGCTTCAGGGTTTGTTTAGCATTCATGGGTCAATCACAAATGAACTACTACGGGATCATACTTTTAGTCAACTACTAAGCTACGACACTTTCAAAACTACATATACTTGGGCAATAGTTGAGGATGACAAACTACGACAAAGAGTGGAAAATGAGAACACATAAAAAGTTCAGAACAGAACTACACGCCAGCAAGGACAGCGTAATCGGCAGATCTGTGTTTTTCCTGTGCGACTTCATACAGCTGATCTTAACTCCTTCAGTACCTGTAGCGGCACCTGCGGATAAGAATCACTTGGAACTGCTAAAGTTCGCCGCCAGGTGACACTGAAAGCGGCAGCCAATACCTCTCAGCCTCTCTGGCAAGGATTGCCACTGCAGCGTAGAGAAGCTGTCTAGCGACAGCAGCGCCAGCAACAAAGACAGCAGCAGGAGAGGAGGAGCAACGATGACGGCGGCAATGGCAACGGCAGCAGCAGCAGCAGCGGCAGCTGGTAGCAGCGACATCAGCAGCGGCAGCAGCACCGGAGGCAGCAGCGGAGGAGGCGCGGGGTCCTCCCTTACCCTCTGTACACCCATCCTTCACCACGTCCGGGTAGTCGCACATATGGCTATCTTGGTTCCAGAGCAGGTCGCCGGGACACGTCATATCCCAGGCCTCTCCTTTCACGCAGACCTTGTAGCCCTGACAGGCGGTGTCCGGCAGCGCGTATCGGCCGAACTGACGCGGACAGTCGGCCGTCGCCTTGGCGCTCTCTGCGCAGACCGGGGCGGGTCAGGGGGTCAGAGGGGTCAGAGGGGTCAGCTCGGTTACCTGTGGCGTCACAGCCCGCGACCATGTCGGCAAACTGGCAGCCCAGGGTGTTCTCGTCGAAGGCCAGACCGTCGCTGCAGGCGGACTGGTAGGCGCGGCCGTTGACACAGCGGGTGAAGGAAGCGCAGTTGTCACCGTCGGCTGACCTGAACGTGGTGAACTGGCGCGGGCACTCGTCGGTCGCCTGGGGGTCCTCTGAGGTCATAACATCGCAGGTTAACGGGTGATATAATGTCACAGGTCAGCGAACAATCCTTGGCTGACTGGGGGTCAAGTGAGGTAACAATGTCATATATGTAGTTCAGAGAACATAGGTCAGTGGGGATCTTCTGATTCAAGAATCATTATATAGTTCAGATTAACCCGCGCCCGGCTGGGGGTCCTGGATTTCCACGCCCTGCTGGGGGGGGGGGGTGTTTGAACACCCCCCCCTTGTAACTCGGCTCCTGGGCCACGTAGCGATACGCGGAAGGCGGCGTTCGAAAGAGCGTAAAAAATAATGACGAAATCACTTCGGTCAATTTTTTGGTCAGGTCAAAGGTCAGGTCACCAGAGGTCATTGAAGGCAAAATTTCGCCGATTTCCAGGTCGAATGTCGAAAATTTCCAAGAAGCTAACGCATAACTCGGGAACCAATATAGCTACAGCGCCGCAGAAAAGTGCATTCGATAGCCCTATTAACGCCCTTTCTGAGTAATTCTCTCAGATTTGACCTAACGTCAACGGTTTTGCCTGCAGGGGGCAAAAACTGCAAAAATGGCCGATTTTTTCGGAAACAGTTTTTCTGCAATAACTTTTGACCCAAGCCTTGTACGAGCTTACTTTTACCGGCATCGTGTTCCTCTCGTCAAGACGCATCGAATGAACTATAACTTGACCTTGAAAGGTCAACTTGAAAATTTGACCTCAGGTCAAGGTCATGACCTGACCGGAAAGGGTCATGTTGCATATAAGTCGATCCGTATCGTCGAGCTGAACACATATAAGGCGTTTTCATCGCTCTAGCATGCCTCTATCAAAAGTTATTTGCGAAAAACTGTTAGATACCATTCGTGACCTAAGATGACCTCAGGGCACAAACAAGGGTCACGGACACCATTTTCATATTCAGTGTGTCTAAACCACTTGTAATTCGGTGTTTGGGAGTGCTTATAATGTCTTTTGTCCAAAAGAGGCGCATTTCAATTTTCTCCCATTGACTTATAATGGGGAGGTCGCAAAATTGACCTGACCTTAGGTCATCGATATCAAAATTCTAAGATATACATTTTGTACATGCTATTGCTCTTAGCAGTCGCTGAAAGTTTCAAAGCGATCGGTCACTCGGTGTAGCTATGACAGACATTGAAACTTTTTATGAGGTGAGGTCACTTCAAGTGACCTGGTGACCTGACCTTGAATGACCTTGGTCTGAAATTTTCACAACATGTGTAGAATTGATGTATGATAAGGTGTACCAAAAACGGCGGCGCTCCGTGCCGCCGTTTTTGAGATATTTGCGAAAAACTACAAGGGGGGTGTTCAAACACCCCCCCAGCAGGGCGCGGGTTAAAAGACACTTCTCGGTCTAATAGGTTACCAGTATAACGCCTTTTGGGGCGACTAACGGAGCGAGCGAGAGGGTGGGCCTTGCACGTGCGAAATTGCGAGGGGGTACCTCCAACTGACTTGTGCACGGCACCCTTCTAACCGGTCTCTAGCGATGTGCCAAATTTGGGCACAATCGGCCCAGCCGTTCTCGAGATCTGGAAGCGGCACCCTGCACGTGCGCACGTGCAAAATGGGTCCCAACTGACTTGTGCACGGCACCCTACTAACCGGTCCCTAACTGTGTACCAAATTTGAGCGCAATCGGTCGAGCCGTTCTCGATATCTGGAAACGACCCCTGCACGTGCGCACGTGCAGCAGCGCCCCAACTCTGACACATGGATATGCAGTGCCTAGTGGGTGCCTACGTACATGCCAACTTTCAGCGCAATCGGCCAAGTAGTTACCGAGATATTGCAACAATTACAAAACGGACACCTCTTCGTTTTGCACGTGGCACGTGCTTAAGGGGTCACCCACATGCATCAGGAATAGTCCAATACTTGGTAGAAGGAATGAAGCTACCCTACAAAAATTACCGCGTGTAAATCGTTCAAGTGGTTGCTGAGATATAAGCCTCGCAAAAGCGTGACTACGGCCGGCCAGCCGGCCGCTCATACTCAGAAATTTCCGTTAATCTAAGGAGAGACTACGCTCGCTTCGCTCGCTCCGTAACCAAAGTCAAAAGGCCACAAAGCGTCATGAGCACAAAGGGGTCAATAACACTTTCGATCAGCGGGTATAGGGGTCCTCAGTCTGAAGTGATAACATCACAGACCCGTGGCTTCTCTTCAGCCTGCTGATGAGAGCTCAGGCCAGGCACTGACTGGTCGAAGTGCATCCCTGTGAGATGGCACACTTTGCCACACTTCCTAAAAGGCGGACGTATAATGCGGAACAATGGGAGAAGATTCTAGGCGGAATAATTTTGTGGTGGAAGTGTCAGACCACTGTGATTATCCCCCTCTTCCACATTCCACAACAATCGACAAATTACACTGACGTGTTTCCTCATGGAATTAGCGCTTCACCGTAACAAAGGACGACGCCACACCATCCGGTCCCCAATTACAGCTGTGTGAATCGACCTTGACCTTGCCGCGCCAGTGGCTGCCTGACTACAAGGTGTAAAGGTAGGTGTGTGGGTGGGGTTTTGTGGGTTCATGCATAGTTATGGGCTCACTGAAGGAATCTGAGTGTAATAGCAGACTGAAGACAGGGCATCAAACAAAGGATCCTTGGTTGTTTGATGTTTCCGTGAATAAGAAATCGAGCCTAACGGGAGACTTGTGGAGAACGGAAATGAGGAAACAGGGATAGCGTGAGGACAATGGCACGTCGAAAGCGACTTATGTTATTCCAACGTATTGCTAAGGCTGCAAGAGGCTCTTCTTTTCATGGGAACAGGTTCAAAATCTGGAGATCATCATCATTCATATTCAGGTTAGGCTCTAACAAAACGCGAAATTGAGACATCCAATTGACGGGCAGTGTGCTTGGATTATTCATGAAACTTTGTGTGTATATTTTAGCTCCAGCCTCCAAAGCTGCACAAACGGTCATTGGCCAATATATATTAAAAATGGCGAAAAGCCCGTTATACGATTATCCCGACACATCCAGCTGTAATCTTTCTTATCAATGTCAAGGATTATCCTGATGGTGATATGGTGATGTAATGCGAATTGTCTGCTGTATGTCTAAAAAGTGATTGAATAAATGATCATTTATGCCTACAACGATTAAAAACTAAACAGCAACGTTCTTATATGCATGAACGCATGCACGTAAATGGATTGCAGACCACAGCTTTACATTACATCTTTGTGATATGTTTTTGGCCAATATGTACAAACGCTAAATGTACGCGCGAAAAGCTGAAGACTGTTTGCCTCAAACCGGTACCTGCTGAGCGCTCAGATCCTAAATCCACCGTTTCGTTTTTGGCAAACAGCCACAACAGATCACGGATTTTCGGCTCAGTGTCGGCAGAAAATGAACTTGGTTATTTTCAGCCTGCGAGTGACAAGAGAAAAACACCGACTTCGACTGTAGAAACGTGTCTGACAAACGGTGGCTCAGCAATACTTATCTGACACGGAGTTACCGTTGAAAGCGTGTATTACGAGGATGGTGTCGTGTGCTTGAAGAGCGTGCTCGATGCCTTACTACATTTACGACACGATATAAAAAGCGGTACATATGGCAAACCTTTTTCAAATTATTGATCACTTATAATTTTGTGCATATGAAATTTTCAGCCCCAGATAATGATCCATTTTTCAAGGCTTAGACCCAGACCATGTGTAATAAACCTTGAGGAATCTGTGTAAATAGAATATATCTTAAATAAATCTTAACGAATCAACAGTTAAACCAACAACAAAAAGATGCTCAATCCAGATAAGAGACTTATCATTTGTGCATTACAACAGCCAGTATGTGTCTAACAGTAATGGCAGCCTCCGACTGCCGCCGAATGTCATCGCTCGAAAGTAAAAGTGTAGCCGGTTCTCACGATGGCAGTTGACGCTGCCGTCACCATTATTTACGCCATCTCTTCAGTCCCACCGTCAGTCAGGCGAACTCAGCGTGAAATGAACGAATGACAGTCTGTTCTGTGTCAAATGACGCCATTGTTCGCTCACCCCGAGGTCATTCTATGGGTCTAATTGAACCGGGGAGGTCATGATGACATCTCTGAGCCTCTGATGAGAGTATTGCAAGTCGGTCATATATCAAGTCAGAGGTTACACCCAGCTTTGTTAGTAGTTATGGCATCGTTGAGGCTATCCACATGGCTTTATTCATTTAGCTTATCCTGAGTTACGCTAATAAAAGCGAAACCCTTAACCCACACGGTTACATTCAAGTTTTAGCTGCCAAATCCTCTAAAAATGGCGACCTGTCGTGTCGATAAAAACCGGCTAAAACCGGCTAAGGAGGGTGGGGAGACGGGGTGGAGGAGTGGGCGAGATGGTCGCCTCAGGCGAGACACCCGTCCCACCCGAAGTTGTTAACCTGGCTGACCTTCCCGGTCGCTATGCACATAATCCGCGCGCTGTTCTGATCCGGTCGCCTCATCTCTGGGGTGTCCACACGGCGCGGGAGGCCGGTCTCTTGCGACATCGCACGCCAGCAGTCCGCAGCGCCCAGCGTCTCTCCTTGCGCTCCCCTCCCCTCTCTTCTCGATTATATCTCGGCGTAGTCCACCCCAGCTACTCGGGAGTCGAAGTCTCGGGACTTGGATCTAGATTCCATATCGCTCCAGAGCTCGTTTAGTGGGATTAGTGAATATAGAGAGTATTCAGCATCGTGGGAACATATCTATTATCTACCAATGATAGGGTCTGGTTAATAGGTAGAGCTGATAGCCCTTCGAGGAAGGGTTAAGTAGTTGCGCAATAGTCTCAGTGCCGAGTTTCAAGAGCATGTTGAACACTTGCATGCTCCTACATGCAGTTTTGTTTTTCGTGCCAGCTCTTGAAAAAATAATTTTTGTTCTCAGTTCGGCAGTCAATTGCCTACTATCATGTGGAATATTGCAGAAACGTTCTAACAGGAGGAGGGCCCATTTAATGTTCTGGGTCTTTAGAAGGTTTTTACTCTTTGGTCTGAGTGCCATCTCCGGATCCTAGTGGCGGGTGACGCCGCCGCAGACGGCAAACAGCCTCCCTGCGGCAAGCCCCACCCGAGATAAGCCCGGAGACGGAACTGGCTGCCGTCACCACGTCGCGGTGACAGAGTTATAACCCACTGACTGGTCATCCGCCGAGACGGAACTGCCGCCGCACTCCGCCGCGGTGAAGGAGTTAAAACTCTTCATCTGGCCAGCCCCAGAGTGTGAGTGACCTAAGCACCTCCGGGATCGCGGGACAAGAAAACTGATAGCTCCGCTTCTTTGGCGCTATTTCACACCACTTTTTACCTACTGGTATTGGAGATGGACAGTCAATGGTCTGCCTCTCTCAAGACCTTGGAGTGATGTAGATTTATGGAAAGTAGCCCGTGGTCCAAGGTCCTTCACCTTGAACCAGGAATTATGCAAAGTAGAAGTGATTCATGGCCCCTAATGATAAGAATGCTGGACCGTTTTAATGCTTGCGATAATGTGCGGTGGCCTAGTTAGCGGAATTCTAGAAGAGCTTCATTGAATTGTGGTGCTTATCACTAGGGGTGTTCTGAGAACAGGGATTTAATCACTTGCTAGTGATCACTGATTGAAACATAAAAGATACCGTATTGTCACGCTTCCCGCCTTTCAAAACAGTGTGATATCTATAACAATAACGATGGCACGTGAGCATATGACACCAAATACTCATAGTCTGTCATTAAATCAGCATCACTAAGAACGAAGAGAGACCTCAGTCATCAGTCTGGACTGGAGGAGTACTCACGGAGCCGGCCGGAGCGGGGGCAGCTGGCCTCCACCGGGTAGACGCAGGGGTAGGGTCGCTCCGGGTGGAACAGCAGGCCGTCCGGACAGAGGTGCTCCTTGGCCACGCCGTCCGTGCACTGGAAGTACTTGTCGCACTGCTCGTTGTTGGCGAAGAAGCCGTCCGGCTCGGGACAGTTGAAGTTGACGGTGGGCTCCTGCTTCAGCAGGCTGTTGGAGCTGCTGCGGGAGGCGCTGCCGCCCGTCTGTCCCAGGGAGCTGCGACCCCCGGACGCCCTAGAGTTGGTGGTCACGCGCCGGTTGGAGCCGAACGTGGACCTGCCGAAGCCGCCCGTGTTGGAGGACGTGGACGATGAGGAGGAGACGGTGCGTCCCGAGCTGAAGCCGCCGGCGCGCGAGGACTGGCTGGAGAACTGGCTGGAGCGCTGGCTGCCTCTGCGGCTGTTGAAGCTGGAGCGGGTCTCGGCCGAAGTCCTGGCTCCGGGGGACGAGCTGGAGCTGGTCCTTCGGGAGGAGAACCGGTTGTTGGAGAACTGAGCCTGTGTCTGCACCGCCACTGCAACACAGAACGGCCGGGTGTTAGGAGTTAGACGGGGGTCTTTGAAACGTCTGGATGGGAGTCTCTGAAACGCTACTGGAAGAGGAGGTCCACGCATTTGCAACGCCAGTTCAGAACAGAGGTCACCACGGACCTACCTTTCAGCTAGGCCCCATCGATCCATGAAAAATTAATCAAACTATTTTGAAACTCAATTGGTCAACGGAAGAAACAATGGAATGGAATATGACCTCTGTTCAACCGTTTGACTTACTATACAGGATAAAATGTTTTTATTGTCTTTTTCGTAAAAAAGGTTACTTACACCTTTTTCAAAACACCTTTACAATAATTGAAATGACGTTTGATGCAAGATGCAAGAAGTGCCAACCAGCTTAACATCATTATGTTTCTCCCATCGAGACGCGTCGAATTAATGCCACGCCTCGACGCGGATAAACGTCGACTACACTGAGCATACGAGGGCAGCGCTTTTCGAGGAGCGCTGTGGCCCGAAGGTTTGAACTTTGAATTGTGAAAAACGCCCGCCCGCCGCAAAACGCAAACACCGCAAAACGCACGCCCGAAACGCCAACGCAAAGGTCGCAAAAAATAAACAAACGCCCGCCGCAAACCGCAAATAAAAAAAACGCAAAAACGCCGCAAAACAATAAAACCGCCCGCATCGCACGCCCGCTAACCGCCAACCGAAAACGCCTGAAAATCGCCCGCCCGCCGCCAAAAAAAAAACACCGCAAAAAAACGAAAAAGCGGCCGCCAACCGCAAACAAATTTAACACCGCAAACGACGCAAAAAAAAGAAAACCGCCCGCATCGCCCGCCCGCCCGCCCGGCGCCAAAGACAAACACCGCAAAAAACACAAAACGCCCGCCCGCCGCAAAACGTAAACACCGCAAAACGTGTAAAACGCACGCCCGAAAAGCCAACGCAAACGGCAAAAAAATCACCCGACCGCCGCAAACCACACAGAAAAAAACGCCGAAACGCCGAAAAAATAAAACCGCCCGCACCGCACCGACGCTAACTGCTAACCGAAAACGACTAAAAGTCGCCCGCCAGCCGCCAAACGCAAACACCGCAAATAAGCGCCCGGCCGCAGCAAGATAATAATTTATCAGCGGCTGGCATACCGCTAGGCTGGTCATTTTCACAAATCAAAAAGATATCTGCAAAAATCTCCTAGATGAAAGCGCCCGATTAAAAAACGGATGGCACGTGCGTGTTCCTCGCCCCCAACTTCCTTCAGGTCAATCGTCATTTGGGTCATCTAACGCATTGACGTATCTGCAAAAATCTCCTAGATGAAAGCGCCCGATTAAAAAACGGATGGCACGTGCGTGTTCCTCGCCCCCAACTTCCTTCAGGTCAATCGTCATTTGGGTCATCTAACGCATTGACGACCGGCTGGGTGGAATGAACATTGCGCCAAGAAACGTAAGTATATTGTCAAAAAGAATCCCCAGAATGGTGGATCCCAAAAGTTTGAAACTACCACTTTGGCCCACTGGACGACACCTTAAACAGTTGCCGACCGGATGACACCCATTGTTTGGTCACCCACGCCATAGTATGCATCATGGGTGCGCCGAAATGACCAAAAGTCCCAATTTCCGGTGTGCAGGGTCATTTTCAACGGCACGTGGCACGTGGTTCTGGACTTTTCCGGCCACTTTGCGACATACCCATGGGTAGTGCACCGAATGGTGGTTGATCCGCATGTAAGAAAATGGGGGGTCGTTTGGATCGTTTTCGAGCAATCTGCCGTGGAACGCATTTTTTTCATTTTCCCCATTGGCTTAACACGGGAATTTTTAAAGTCACGTGGCACGTGCACCAGATGGTCCGCGGAGGGGAGACCCATACCAGAACGTAGATCACCTGGCCCACTAGAAATCCTGAAAAAATCAGAATTTTTGGACCAGCCGTTTTCAAGAGCATCAAGTTGTACTGATCTCAGGCAGCTTTTGCCAAATTGTCAGGGAACTCAGATTTGTTTTTCAATAGAAAAACACAATTCTAAAGACTAGTGTTTTAACTATTGACAACAAACCTTCGGTTACATATAGGTTCTTAGAAACCTGGATAAGCACAAAAGACATTTTAGCAGGATATCAACTTTATTCATTGGAGCCGTTTAGCGCTCAGCACGTGGCCGCAGTGACTCTCTTCACCGGTCACAATCGGGTGACTTCCCGTTCTGCGGTCCCCAATTAGAGATGTCAATCGGATACCAACTTTTTGGTATACCGATACCAAACCGATACCAACTTGGTATTTGGTATTTCAATCGTAATGTGTTTGGTATTCTGTTGGTATCATAAGCCCTCACTAATGTATAAGAGGCTAAGAAATCGGTAAAAAGTTGGTATTTCCCTCAGTTTCCCAAGTTGGTTTGGTTTCGGTATTTTCCCGTGGTTTTGGTTGGTATTTGGTTTGGTATCGGTATTCCGATTTTCCGTAATTGACATCACTATCCCCAATCATGGTCGAACGTTCAAGATGCCGTCATCGTATGTCAATGCATGCACAGTGGCTGGCCGAAAATTAACAATTGAGAGAATCAACACAATTATGCGTTTTCCAGACCTGTGTCGCAGGTCATGTGGACTATATAAGCCGTTTTTACGACGGCTATCTGGTACACATTTCGTTCACATTCATGCAGCTTTGGTGCAGATTTGGCGCAGATTTTGTCAAATTAGGTTCACCGTTACCGTTACACTAGGTTCACCGTTACACTAACCGTTACTCTTGTTTTCAAATTATCAGTCATTGTGTTTTATTAGAACACAAATTCGTGTTGTGAAGACATTTGTTGTAAAAGAGATTTGGTGCAAACTTAGCCAAGTTTGGTGCTTTCGCCACATAACCTGTCGTGATACAGCGAGCTGTTAAAAAAAAGAATATGCTAGGACACTGGCAAGCTGTAATGCAAAAAAAAAATAGTCTACCGTATTTTCAGATATCTTTGGTAACTACGAACGACCCTTTTTTAACCCGGCAGTTGCTGGGGTATTTCGCCACCCGCCGTTCGCTGGGGGGGGGGGGGGAGCGTTAAACGCCCCCAGCCGATAACTCGAGAACCAATAGGCGCAGCGAAACGCACGAGGCGGCAAACGAAAGAATGCGACGAGATGCTTCAGATGAGTAGTTACTTTAAAGTTAAATTTCGAGGTCACAGGTCGGGTCAAGGTCAGGTCAAACACCTGAAATCGGGCTTTCAGTAGCATGGACTTCAGGACTTCGCAATGGGCGCCTCTCGTCATAAACTCTGTCAAAACGGTGCACAATCCTTCATATAAGGCCTACAGGCTACAAGAGTGTCAGCTCCATGTAGGGGTCAGTCAAGCATAGGTCAGGGTCAAGGTCAGGTCAACCGGGTAGGCACATATAACCGAAAATCAAAACTGATATTCGCAGCCCGTAACACATGTTTTATGGGTAATTTTGGGTGTAGAACACGATGGTGACATTCATTTTATCATATGTCCGCCGGTACCGTACCATATTTACCATATTTTATTCCGCCGGTCCCGTAGCTCAGTTGGTAGAGCGTTGGACTCCGCGTGGTGAGAGCACGCGTTCCCGGTTATAACAGTCCGGCTTCGAAGCGCGACGGGCGCTCGACATTTATGGGCCTCCTGACAGGTATGGCTGCGGTTGGTGGCAGGCCGTAGCCAGGCGAAGTCAGTGAGGGGACCGGCCGTGCGCGGCTATGTATGTGCGCACGTTAAACTTTGGACTCTAAATTCTGCCATAGAACCGGAATTGCGCGATCGGAGGGTAGAGGGCAGGGTCACCGCAACATGCTTCGCTTACCGGTGGTTCTGTCCTTGTGAATCCTTCCTATCAAAAGGTTCGGACTAAATTTATACAAAAAAATAATAAAAAAAATAAAAAATTGTGTACGTGTTTGGTTCAAAAAGTTCAATTTAAGAAATGCATGTATCATGGTTGTGACTCGTGAAGTAGTCACGAGAAATTGCCAAGATTCAGTTCAAGATTTTGGAAAATGCGGAACGATAATCAATAATCGAAGACAGCCATTTGATTGTTCATGGTATTGGCAGTCTAATGGCGTTTACGGTATGCCTGTATGTCTTTTCTGTGATTTTATATGATTTTTTAACATCGGCCGTTTTGGTCGAAAACTCAGAAATCATGACGTCACTAAAACCTTGATATCTCAAAAAATTCCCTACAGGTGCCCAAATTTTGGCGAGCCTGCGGCGCGCCGTTTGTATGCTATGGCACGGCGAAAAAAGTGGGGGCGTTTAACGCCCCCCCCCCCCCAGCTCGCGGGTTAACAATATTTAAACCATTGAATGATCTTGATTACGATTGTAACGGTGCATTGCAATCGAATTGCAAAGTACCGCTGCAATTGCAAGTTGCAACTTTGGCATTGGCCATCTCTTTGGTCCTCTCTTTGACCATTAGAATGATATCTTGTGTGCTTACGTAATCGCGTACCAAACGTCGATTTAAAGCAAACAAAATGTGTTTGAAGTGGGACTTAGCCTCAAGACGAAGACAAATGCAATTATGAGATATTCAGGGACTTCGTAGATTACTAAATGATCTGGTCAGTTGCGAGTAAAAATTGCAACACGGTTGCTCAATATATGATGGCCGGGGCTCTATGGCTGCGGGCTTTTAACAGTTCTCAAGGGATGGGCGCATGCCGACCATCAAGCAACATATGACCACACAGAGCAACTAGGCCGGGATGCACGGTTGAATATTGATGAGCCCATGCCTTCATATGTCAGCCGACTACATATCGCTCGATTGGTATGTGAAATGAAGCCGTCGAAGGTTTCTGAAATGATTGCTGTATTCGTATAGGCATTCATAAACTTTACAGCATATAAAATCAAATGCTTCCATCAGAATATGAGAGACGTTTGCGTCTCCATCAACCTAAGGTCAACATGCAAATCATCTTGGCTAGCTTTGCTGAGCAAAGCAAATGCTTTTATCGCAGGCACTACATGTAGAATTAGATGCCGAATGCGAGTATCACGATTATCATTATCATATCACGTGTATCATTATCATCACGAGTGACGAGTATCACGATATTTTATAGCCCACCTAATTATTACATCATAATATATGTATGCAGATCAAGAATAGCACTGAATACGTATCGCGCTATTCAGCAATCCGCCTTATCGAAAGTACATACCTACCACTTTCCGTAAATTATGTTTGGTGGCCACGGCTGGCCGGTGAACTACATTTTTGCCCTGCCCAGGGCTGCGGAGTCGAGGTCGGAGTCGGAGTCGGAGTCGGTTGGAGTCGACAGTTCTCACCGGAGTTGGAGTTGGAGTCGGAGTCTATTTAGGATGAATCAGATCCGGAGTCGGAGTCAGAGTTAGCGAAAAATCCATCGACTCCGCAGACCTGGCAGGGCTGCGGAGTCGGGAGTCGGATTTGGAGTCACTGAAAATCCATCGATACCGCAGCCCTGGCCCTGCTTACCTCAAACAATTTCTAACCGTGAAGGAAAATATATCTAATCGTTAAGCAAATCACAGCTTTTAAGATCTCGAAAAAAAATCAAGTATGGGTTTTTGAACACATTTACATAACGCTTTTACTTTAATTTCACAGAATACCACGGGGACTGCAGCTGAGTTTTTTTTTGCAGTTAAAAATGATAAACCTCAGCTGACCTCGTCTGGGTACTCACCGGCGGCGCAACAGAGCGCGATCAGGGCTAGACGACACGAGGCCATGGCGAAGTGAACGGCTCGGCGACCACCGATCGTATGCCGGACGGTGGCGGCCGGCGGCCCGGCGCGGCCCCGGCCCCGGCCCGCCGCCCCGGGCGGGAGACGATCCGCCGCGGACGGCGGCCGAGTCAAGGCGAACCGGCCGCCGCCGCCACCACCCGCTCTCCCGGTATCTGTCGACCCCCTCACCCACACAACCCCTCACCCACAACCCCGTGTCTGTGATCTATGTCCCGCGGAGCTCTGTCAAATACCTGTCGAGCCGATATTCACTTTTATTCATTCGCGTTATAGAACTTCTGTAGGAATTCGTTTACATATGTATATCTAATCTTATTCACACCTTTCTTTCTTTCTTTCTTTCTTTCTTTCTTTCTTTCTTTCTTTCTTTCTTTCTTTCTTTCTTTCTTTCTTTCTTTCTTTCTTTCTTTCTTTCTTTCTTTCTTTCTTTTTTTCTTTCTTTCTTTCTTTCTTTCTTTCTCTCTCTCTCTCTCTCTCCTCTCTCTCTCTCTCTCTCTCTCTCTCTCTCTCTCTTTCTCACCCTTTCTCTCTCGCTCTCCCAATGCCGCTCACCACTGCACTGCACTGCTCGGTTGCTCCAGTCCCCTATCTTCCCTCCATCGTGAGCGCGCCGGTCTGTGGACCACATTCATCCCATTGTGTCCACCATATAGCACAGCTCTCCGGCTGAGCGGCATTGCAACACGCCGCTCAAGCGACACGCAGAGCCGATGGCGGCGGCGGCGGCGGCGGCGGCGGCGGCGGGGGCGGGGGCGGCGTGAGCTCTTCTGGCGGGAATGGCCGGTATGCCAGTGCTTCGTCACGATGTGCGGGGCGGGTGCGGCAGCCGAAACCGCGGAGCCCAGAGTCGTGAGGTCGTGGTTGCGGCAGCGCGAGGGAGGGATCTGATGAATAGGTGTGTGACACACCAGATGATCGGAAGAGCCAGTGATGATTGGCTGGGTTGCTGGAATTGGATGGATGAATGGGATAGCAAGATCATTACATTCAAAGTATAGATATGATATGAGAGCGACAATAAGTTGTTATTAGCCGTTTTTACGGCGGGCTATCCGGCGAGCGCACCTAATTTGACCAAATCTACACCTAATCTCTTTTACAGCAAATAGCTTTATTTTATGAATTTATTTCAGTGTTTAATGATGTTTCAGATGATGCTCTCTGATAATATGACAACACATGCATATAAGCAATTAGTACAACCCTAGCTGATAGCTACACATGACACATGAACCTAATTTGACCAAATCTTCACCGAATGGCTGCACCAGATGTGCACTAAATGTGTACCAGATGGCCGACGTGAAAACGGCTATTGTCCAAAATTGGTGTGTTGGGCGATATAACCCCGTGCATGGCTGCGAAACACTACAAGCCATGCCACAGTTTGTCGTTTTCCAGCCGCAGGGCTTCCAATCACAACCCCGCCCCCACGGCTGTCCGCATTTTGAGAAGACGGTGTACGAGTTGTAGTTAGGGCTAAGAAGCAGATTACGAGTATTCGAATTATTTTAAAACTTGAACCTTGCAATTCAAATAACTATCTGGCTATCTGCTCCCTTTGCATTATACCATTCATGTTATCTATGATTTTACCTATTTCATGATTTGATCATAAAGTTACGGTTCGAAAAGTCAAATTGAGGGCATATTATGCATGTGCTCATTCTCTCTCTCTCTCTCTCTCTCTCTCTCTCTCTCTCTCTCTCTCTCTCTCTCTCTCTCTCTCTCTCTCTCTCTCTCTCTCTCTCTCTCTCTCTCTCCCTCCCTCTCTCTCTCTCTCTCTCTCTCTCTCTCTCTCTCTCTCTCTCTCTCTCTCTCTCCACTGTAATGACGACTCGTAAAATGTAATGTTAACATTACCATGCACCAACACCTATAACGTAAATGATTTTCCTAAACAATGCAGGCTTTGCTGAGTATGACAACTGGCTCTACCCGTGCGCTCTCAAGTGAAGACACCTGTGCACACCTCAGACGCCCTCCAAGCAGACGGCGACCACAAACGGGCTCCTATACCGTTAGCCATGGCACGCGGAAGGCTCGAGACGTTTTCACTACCCGTCACAGACAGTGAAAGGGAATTTTGATCGCACCACGTGGTAATCCACGCTGCCCAACTTGAGTTGCGACAATAACTTACCCGGTACCTAGTTGTAAATGATATACCTTACCCTAGGAATACACGAATCTTCAGTGTTTAGTAAAGTCATCCACAATGAATGACACCTTTAGCCCGCGCATGACTGGGGTGGGGCTCTACAGAGCCCCCTCTTCCTGTTTTTCGGCAATATCTTCTTAACCGTTTGACGGATCAACACGAAAGTTGCAGTACCCTCAGCGACATTGACCTGACACGTTGTGTTAAAATTTCAACTTTCTAGCTACCATAGTGTGGTCGGAAATGACATCAGAGTGACGTCATGTCGGTCGATTTTGATGCAGAATATTGAATTACGGCAAACGCTCTCAAGAGCACAGTTTTAAAGCTAGATCCAATTTCTTTGCATGAGTGGACTACCAATACACGTAACTATCAAACTGTAATCTCCTATTTTGAAATCACTTGAAAATGTTTGCAAATATGTGTTTCTAATTACAAAATATATTTTTTAATTTTCTCAAAAACGTTTTTGATTTTTCGCAAAAACCAGAATATGTGTGATAGAACACACACTGATAAACTACTCTAGCACGTTTTAGCCCAATATCTTCAAAAATAACAAAGTTATTTGCATCATTGTAAAATTTTAAAATTATGTATTTTTCAAAACATTTTTTTTTTCAGTACGTTTTTTGACATCGTATAGAAGTATAAACGGCACCATCGTGTTTCTGAGTTGAAACTGCATCTGATAGGCACCTTCTTTTAACCCGCGCATGACTGGGAAGGGCCTCTGCAGAGCCCCCCTCCTGTTTTTCGGAAATATCTTCTAAATCGCTTGACGGATCAACACGAAACCTGCGGTACCCTCAGCGGCTCCAATAATGACACCTTGTCTCAAAATCTTAATTTTCTAGCTAACATCGTTTGGCCGAAAATGACGTCAGAGTGACGTGATGTTGGCCGATTTTGATGCAAAATATTGAATTACGGCAAACGCTCTCAAGAGTTCAGTTCTAAAGCTAGATCCAATTTCATTGCATGAGTGGACTACCAATACACGTATCTAACTATCAAACTGTAATCTCGAATTTTGAAATCACTTGAAAATGTTTGCAAATATGTGTTTCTAATTACAAAATATTTTTTATTTTTCTCAAAAAAGTTTTTGATTTTTCGCAAAAACCAGAATATGTGTGATAGAACACACACTGATAAACTAGTCTAGCACGTTTTAGCCCAATATCTTCAAAAATAGCAAAGTTATTTGCATTATTGTAAAATTTTACAATTATGTATTTTTCAAAACATTTTTTCAGTACGTTTTTTGACATCGTATATCAGTATAAACGGCACCATCGTGTTTCTGAGTTGAAACTGCATCTGATAGGTACCTTTTTTGTTGAAAAATTTAATTTTCATAATTTGTACTTTTCTGACCTGAAAGTGACCTGACCTCCGATAAATTCAGCTGAAAATGACCTCAAATGACACAGACGACATTGTTTTCGAAGTCTACGATTAAAATGTACCATAAAACATGCGTCACGTGACTGACACATGATATACAATTTTCGTGACCTAGGATATGGCCTGACCTTGACTTAAAAAAAATCGAAGTAAAAGTTCGGTACCGTCAGGGTATCTAAGGCATATATCAAGGAGTGCGTAAACCAACAATGAGCCTGATCGGACTTGTCAGCCGGCGGTCAGAGCCTAAATAGTGAATAAGCAAAAGTGCTGATAATTTTTATATTATATATATATATATATATATATATATTATATATATATATATATATATATATATATATATATATATATATATATATATATATATATATATATATATATATATTTCGTAACGGCGGCTGATTACCCTGGAAAAACTTCAGAGCGAAAGCGAATTTAACCCGCGCTCTGATGGGGTCTGCCGAGCAACGCGGTCTGATGGGGGGGGGGGGAGTGGCCATTTTGGCCCCCCCCCCCCCTAAGATCTCGAGAACCACGCAACATAGCGACAAGCGGTAAACGGCGTTGGATAGCCCCAACGGGGAACTACCTTGTGACCCAATTTCATTGACCTCGGTCAAACCAATGACGTCACAGGTCAGGTCAAAGGTCGAATTTTTACCGTTTCCAGGCATTTCAAGAAATGCGTTGTAAAATCGAGCAAAATACATTTCATTGAAAATCATCGTTGGGGAAATGTTCTTCAAACACATATTTTGCTATTTGAGGTCACCGATACCAGGTCAGGTCACAGAGGTCAGGTCACTGGGGGGGGGGGGGGTCACAATATGAAAGTGTCGTGTGATACATGTTTTATGGTCCATTTTACATGACAAATGCGATTATGTGGGTCAGGTAGACTTTGGAGCCAGCTAAGGTCACGTTTTGGTCAAGGTCAGGTCAAGGTCAGGTCAAATTAGGTCAAATTTCAAAGTTGATATTTTGCATAGAATGGGTATCGATTCGATGCCGGTCGTCACGGGGAGTTCAATGGTGGTCTCCGTTTTGCGCTACGAGGTCCAGAACAGCTAAAAATTGAGTTCAAAAATTTGACGTCATCAATTGTTAACAGTTTTTTTTTCGCTATAACTTGACCAAAAAAAGAGGTATCGATCTTAAATTTGGTATGTATAGCAAAGAGCGCAGAGACTGTCATATACATTCCGTTTTTTTTCAAAATTCGAAAAAAGAAATGGAAATTTTTTGAGTTTTTTCTAAAAAATCATTTTTTTTATTTTTTGGGGTCAAAATCCCAAAATTTCAAAAATCCAAGATAGCAGTTTTGTAGCGCCGTCTTTTCTCTACACAACCACATAAAGAACTTTAAAATTGCTTGTTAACTGTAGAATTGGTGAGCGTTTCAAGATGTCATGTTTTTGCTCATTTTTACTCAAACATGACCTCAGTTTGCCCTCAATAACTCCTGACCTGAGGTGACTTGTGACTTGAAATTTTGTGTGACGGTGTCAAATTGATGCCCGGTAAGGTACCCAAAATTTGGCGGCGCCTATTTAAAAAAAAACGCAGGGGGGCCAAAATGGCCCACCCATCAGGGCGCGGGTTGACCTAAAGGTCACCAATTACGTCACAAGACAGCTCAAAATAAAAATTGTCAACATTTTGGGTTATTCACCATTTAGGCTTTGGCCGCCGGCTAACACGTCGGATCAGGCTCAGTTTTGCTTTACGAACTCGTGGATATATTCCGCAGATACCCGGA